CATGGTCCTTTCTTCTAAAAATGCAATATCAGGGAGGGGGGGGGCACAGCCCTTTCTACAAGAAATTACCAACTTTTAATAGCAAAATTTGTTCAATTATTCATTAGCTATTTAAAATGGATAATTTGAAAGTTATTCATTTTTAAACAGTATTAGCTTAGTATTTTTGTGCCTGATTCCAGAATTGGTTTCTCTGACATAGTTGTAAGCTTTTCTTGAATATTCTTGAAGAGTTAGAGAAAATTTCATCAACTCAAAGCTGTACTTTTCATTTCTGTAGTTAGACAGCTTAATTCTTCTTTTTTGTATTGCTGGATAATTGCGTCAGCAATTGATCCATTTCCTTGAATTTCTTCAAAGTTAGAGGTGTAAAATTCTTCTGTTGTCTGTTCTTCAAATTTTCTCTTGTTGTTGGCTGAAACAAAAAAATTGCAATTTTTAAAATTAGCAAAATTCAGAACAAATTTTAATTGTCAAAAAAATATAGAAGAAAAATACTAAGATATATTATGCACGCTTAAATACCCAAAATCATGAAATTGTGAGTAAAAATAGGGGATGAAAATTCTTTTAGTATTTAACAAACGTTTTAATGAATTTCTAGTAATACCTGGCTCAGGAGGAAAAGAGCTACTCTGAGGTATATCAGAACTCCTCTGTAGGAGAACAGAACTCATCTAAGGTAGAACATAACTCCCCTGAGGTAGAACAGAACTCCCCTAAGGTAGTACAGAACTTCTCTGCGGGAGAGCAGAATTACTCCGAGAGGGAACAGTTTAAGTCTGTTCATGACTCAGAAGAATGTCTAAAAATTATGAATGAAATATTAAAATACAGTTTTTAAACACTTTCATCTTAAACCCTCCTGATGATATTAAGATGTTGAAGCACCCGTTGTTCTGTGGAAAAATTCGTTTACGAAACAAATAATTTAGGGTTCTCTATAAGTGCACTATCTATATATATAAATTTGGCTTGTCTGTTTGTTTGTCTGTTTGTTTGTTTGTATCCAATAGACGTCAAAACGGCTGAACCGATCGGGCCCACATTTTTTGTGGGACATCACGTGCCCACAGGGAAGGTTTATGAATGATCAAAATTCGATCTTCATTAAATTTTTGAAAATTTTAAAAATCCACAAAATTTTTTGTGAAAATCCGCGAATCATTTTTGTTTTGTTTTACGATGTACACAAAGAGAACATGTTCACAATTAATTTAGAAGATGGGCGCGAAGCGCCCTATAAGGCTAGTGGATTTATACTACATTAAGGGAAATTGCTAGAATTCAACACATTTTAAGGAATACAACAATATCTTTTAATTTAAAAGTGTTTAGAATCGTGATAACTTCTATGTGCAGGGAGGGCTTTGGGTATTAAGGAAAAGTCAGAAAATTTCAACAGCCTCAGAATAGGGTTAAACAACATATAGTGATAACCAGAAAACTCAGGAATAGTAAGAAGATTTTGAGGATCAAGTTTAACTTTAAAAAGTTTATTAACCATGAAACACAGCATTTGTGCAGTGTAAAAAGACCCATTTCACAAAAAAGTGTCTGGTAAAACTATTTGCTTTGTAACGCGATCAAATACACTATACTTATACAAATACTTATATAATGTTGTCTCTCTATTTCATTGTTTTCTGGTTATCACTGTATATAAAAGTTACATTTCAGAAAAGTCATTGATAAGTAAATATAAAATCAGTTGTCACATTTTTTTATTTGTCAACAACAACAAAAATGTTATTTTTAACATATTTCAGGCCTTTTTAGGGGACTGCTAAACTGACAATACTCAGACTAAACAGCAGGTATCGTACATACATATTAAGGATATTAGCACTCCCGCCCCTCCCCCCCCGCTCTCACAAAATTATACATTGCTCAGAATTATCTAAGCTTATTCTTTTAACCCTAAATTTAGAATATATAATTTAAAGTATTATTAACGGCCACGAGGAACTTTTTATTTAAAAATTGTATTTTTTTTTACTTTTTAGCCAACTCTTTCCTATAAAACTTTTGTCTTTGATGTAATTGTCCGTTACTAAGAACGGAATGGGGGATGGAAACGTTCTTAATTAAGAACAGAACAAGAGGGATGCAACCGTTCTTCAACTAAGAACGCCAAGAACGGAACGGAACGGGAAGACCGTTCTTCTACTCAGAACGGAACGGAACGGGACGGAACGGAACGGAACGGAACGAGAACGAGAACGGAACGATAAAAAAAGAGGAACGAGAACGGAACGATTTAGCTGAAGGCCCTCGTTCTAGAACGGAACGGAACGATTTAAAAAAAGTCGGAACGTGCCCAGCCCTAGATGGATACTGGGAAAAGCGTTATAACTTAACTTCGTCCGCAAACGTATTTGTTTTCAACATGTTTTGCACAGACAACACTAAATTTTCCCGGAGTCCAGAAACCTGGCTTTCCTGTGAAGTTACTCTATGTTTTTTTAAAACTTTTCATCTTTATGTATATATATTCTGAGGTGCCTATTCAACTATAAGGAGTTGACCTATGACTTTCAAACTTGCAGCATGCCTTACTATCCTTTAGAAAAATACTCAAAATTTGAGCTTCCTATTATTTATCTTTTAAAAGATATCACATCAAAACATGCCATATTTGAATATTATCACACACGCACATATTATGAGATGTCAATGTTTTGATTTTTCTAGATTTTCGCTTTCGTTGTAATAGTGTTCATCAAAAGTATAAACGTTTGAAACGTTACATTGCACAATTTTAAATTTTTTGGCATAGAGTAACGTTACATAATGAATTTTCTGCACTTGAATACCTTATACAACGTTAAGCTTTAGTAAATGTTAGTGGAAAAAAGTAAGCTCCGTTACACTTTTGCTTTTTTTGTTTTAATTTTTTTCCCCAAAGTTGCGTTAATGCTTTAGTCATATAACCACAATTTTGTAACATTACACTTTCATGCAAGGTGAATATTTTCCGAGATCTTACGTTACACTTTCACTTGGTTTGAAAACTAAAAGGTGACAAACGTTTTGCTTTAATAAAACGTCATTGGGGAAAAGTTCTGCACGTACTTAATGTGATTAATCGAAACGTTATTGTTTTTTTTGTTTACACTATTTTACAGCTGGCAATCACCTCTTTATATTCGTTTCTGCGGAAGAAATGAAAAATTGTTCTATATGTTACATTGTATTAAAATGTTCTGTACTAGAAATTCAAGGCGCTTCGCGCCCATCTTTTATTTAAATTGTGAACATGTTCTTTTTGTTTACATTTAAAAACAAAGAAAATTTTTTTTTAAAAATCGCGAATTTTCAATTGAATTTAATTTTTTTTTAAATCAAAAACCTTTAAAACACATTTTTAAAACATTTTTATCATTCATAAACCTTCCCTGTGGTCACGTGATGTCCCAAAAAAAATTTGGGCCTGATCGGTTCAGCCGTTATGACGTTTATTGGATACAAACAGACAGACAGACAGACAAACAAACAGACAAGCCAAATTTATATATAGACGTTACATTGTTCAGGCCTTAACGTTTCTTACGTTACTCTTCATTAAAAATAATATTGTTTCTAAATGAAAGCATTTAAGATGTATTCCGTGATAACTGCATTCCTACTACCTGGTACCTACATCCGAAAACGTGAACCATGCTAAAAAAATAGTGTCATTAATCCCTTTTTACTCACCATGTTTAGAAGAATGCAGCAATATAAAGATGTTATAATATTATTATTGAATGGTTTTTAGCATTAAACTTTCATCTCAAGATGCGTCTTTAAGGGACTATAGAGACGTAATTTCAAGTGACCTTCCATTTATGGAGTGGCATGTCCAGCATACATTTACAAGAAACAGGGTGTCCCGAAAAACATGGGAATTCAGTGACGAATTCGAAGTCGGCTTTGAATAAGATTTATGATTTAGTATAGCGATGTCTACTTATATGAAAGCTGTCATCCCGGTGAATTTTTCGTCTGCTAGAGTTTAAAAATTGTTGTTTGTTTATGTTTTGGTTCAATACGAATGTTCTGAATAAAATTAGAAGATTTCGAGTAAAAATAAAGTACACTGTTCATACTTGAGAAATTTTAAAGAAATAAATAATTATTGCAGAAAATATGCGTACAATCAAACAGAAGACCGTGATACGAGGTTTACATGGCTATAAAAGACAAGTTAAGCCAGGAGATATTTTAAGTTGTAAACTTGACCAATTCTGGATGTTGGAAAACCCCAGTCGATAAAGCATTGCTGTCAAAGATTCGTTTAACCGAAAGGTAAGCATGTCTTTACATTTCCTTAATTCGCCATATTTTTCTTTCTTTATACCGCCATATTTTCGTCATTTCTTTAACCAAATTCCTCGTTTTTTCATTTCCTGTTCATTAACTTTAATTCTAGTTTCTTTCTTTAATTAAAGAGACTGTAGTGGGGCTTTTATTTAAAAAGAGTGGCATACACGATTCACAACTCTTAACTAACAAGGTTTTTAAGGGTACTATTGTTCATTGTGAATCGGAAATGCCATTTTATAAATGGAGACAATTACTTGACAATTACTCAAACCCCTTAAATATTTCTTTTTGTATTATTAACAATTCTTACTTCTTTTCCATTTCTTCAATTTCACACTGCAATTTTCATATTAGGTGGGACATAATGCCAAAGAATGGGAATATTCCTTGGGCCCTTTAATCGAGTTTGGAAGAAAGGAGGTGGAGGTTAGAATTCCTCTAGAGGCCAAAATTCACAACTCTGGCGAGGGCCCCCAAATTGATAAGTTTTTTATTTTACTTGATTGCATTGAAACCTTTCATTGTTATTGAATTTCCTTTTTAGAATGCGAGATAAGCTTACCATTTGACAAGAACCTAGATTTTGTCTGGGTAAGAGTACAGGGAGGAGGTTCGGAAGCAAGGGGGAATAATCCCAGGAGTGAGGACTAAATTTATTTTTGACCAAAATCTACTTATTTAAACAATTGATGTAAACAACTATTTTTTTATTTAAACAATAAATTTACAATATAGTTTTATGCATTCTTTATCTCAAGAATTCAAAATGGCCCCCTATTTGCTCTATGCACATCTGTGCACATGACACGTCACTGCACACTGATGTGACATCTTTTAATCAGCTCTGGATCTCCATTAAGTTGATCTATCACCTCTGTGATTCGCTCTTCAAGTTCGTCCAAGGAGATGGGGAGAGGACTGGTGAAGACCATCCTTTTCATTATGGACCAGATACTAAAGTGCAGGACACTCAAGTCCGGGCTCAGTGAAGCCCACATGTGGCCCCTGAGACCCCTAAGGTTAGCACCAAGGCCAAGAACTCGACCATCAAATTGATGGTCTAGGTATTCCATGAATCTAGGATTTCTGTGGATGGTAGCACCGTCCTGTTGCCAAATTATTCCTACGTTAAAACCATATTTAGATTTTTTAGAAGATCATAAGAAACTTTGAAGTTTTAAAGTAAATTTTCGGTAATCATAAATGTAAATTTTTGGTAATCATAATAGTTAATTTGGTGTGTTTTAATTCTTTAAAGGCTAAATAAAAAAAGACCCCACCCCCCTTATAGAAACAGCACATTTTTAAACACTTAAAAGAACAGTAGACATAATTTTAAGCATGGCTAAACCAGAAGGTTGAAATTACATCTACAGTCACTTTAACATCATTGCCCTGGCCTTGCCTTAAAAAAAGGATGAATAGTGTCTCCTTATTTTCCAAAACTTATGAAATATGGTTCCTTCAAGTGATCCGTTGTTTGCAGCCATCAACTGAGGAATGCACTCCTCCTTAACCAATTCTTGGTACATCTGGGAATTCATATTTCCGTGCATAAATTTTAAACCAAAGAGTCTTCCCTTACAGGTACCGGCAAACACCATCAACTGAAAAAAATAATAATTATTCAAAATTCTGCAGAAAAATACAAAGATACTGATACCTGGAGTAAGGTTGGGTTTAATTGATACTGGGACCTGTAGTAAGGTTGGGTTTAATTGATACTGGGACCTGGAGTAAGGTTGGGTTTAATTGATACTGGGACCTGGAGTAAGGTTGGGTTTAATTGATACTGGAACCTGGAGTAAAGTTGGGTTTAATTTTACCTTCTCTGCATGTTTCTCCTTCATGTGGATTAAGTTTCCATCAAGACTAGCTCTGCCTGCACCCCCTTTCTTTTTGGATCCAATGTACTGTGTACAGTTGCGTGAATTAACCTCTCCATCTGCAAAACGAAAAATTTGTTCAATTTATTAAACTCATTTTTTATAAAACTTACGTAGTTTTTTTATTTAAACATCGATTTGAAGTTTTAGTGTGAAAAAAATCTTTTCTTTGCATCTGTTTGAAAAAAAAACAACAGTAATATTAAGTTCATTCTGCTTGACACAAATTTATAATTCTTACCCAAGTAAAAGTTAGCTTCGTCAGTGAAAGCAATATTGATGAGTTCTTCATCTGAGAGCATCACCAGCCACTCGCACATCTCAAACCTTTTCTCCCTGTCCCCCTGTGATAGACGAAGCTGCTGTGCTGTAATCAATCTAAAAAATAATACAAGTTATATTTATATAATGAGAATGGCAGCAGAATCAAATAGTCATTTTTAATGATGAAGTTTAAAACATGCCATTTTCTTAAGGCTTAAGGCAAAATTTCCAGTGAAATTAAATTTTTACAGTGGCGTTTCCGATTCACAACAGTACTCTTAAAACCTTTGTCTGATCAAGAATGAATGTGATATTCTTATTTTTCTTGCTAAAAATTGATTATTTTCAGTTGGACTTTTTACTAAAAAGTAATTACATAATGTTTACCTAAAACATTATTGATTCATCTCCAGCATCAACCTACTCCAAGAAGATTTAGACACGTTCAAATTATTTTTTCGAGCAAAGCTTGCTTGAATTAAATACGAAGTGTTTCTGTCTTGTTCAAGCAGAGCTTCCGCTCTGGCCTTGGTTGCTTCTGTAAGAACAGACCTTTTTCTTCCACTATATCCCTGGTGAAGGTTCTGAACTGTAAACTTCTGCTTGAATTTTTCACATATTCTATACACTGTACTTTTACTTGGTACTTTTGAGCCAGGAAATGCTCTTTGAAAAGCGTATACAACCCGCTGGGCACGATCTTCAAAGTTTTTAATTCCTCAAAACTTTTTACAATGAAACTTCTTTCCTCAAGGGTATATATTGTCTTTTTAATGGATATGAATAAACTGGAATAATTGTACACCGCAGTACAATTAGTTTGTACACAAACATTTCAATCTCATTAAAATACTTTTCAGGGCTGTTCAGTGTTCATAGTTTTCGTGTTAAGACACAGAATAATAATACGTAAGTTTACGTAAAATATACTTTAGCAGACGAAATTACATAATATGTCTTTACATCAGGTATTACAATAAACTAATCCTGAAAAAAAGACAGCATCGAATTCGTCACTGAATTCCCATGTTTTTTGGGACACCCTGTAGGAAAACGCTGGTATTTTCAAATTATCAATCAGATAAAGGTATACACGTTACCATTGGGAATCGAGCTTGGCCCTCTTCAAATGGAAGATCAATTGAAATTATCATCGTGTCGTGTATTGGCGAGCTTAAACATAGACATGTTTTGGGGGACTTCATAAAATAAATTAAAATTCGGCAAGGCAAACCACTTTTGCATGTGGAGAATGAGAATGAGAATGAGAATGAGAATGAGAATGAGAATGCAGAATGAGAATGAGAATGAGAATTCAGAAGAATCCTTATTATGTATTAAGTCACAACATTTTACGGTAATAGTGACAAAAACGAGTGTGCTAGGACAAAAAAACTATAGGGCCGGCCAAGCTTGTTATAGGGTTAAAAGCTAAAATAGTTAATGGGAGAAGCCGAGTTCTTTAAATTCTATTAGTAAAAAAATACTCTACAGATTGACCCCGAGAAGTAAAACGTATTCAATGACCTCTTCAAATGACGAGTTCATGTTGTACAATTTTCAGCTTTACAGTATGCATGAGCAATCTATTCTAATTTATCTAGGAATCCATCTTGGGAATTACAATAACTCTTGGTTTTATTATTCCTGACTCCTGTGATACTGATATTCGCCAATCTTTCTTTTCATTCTGCTGGGAAGGGGGGCGCCCGGCCGCCCCCCCCCCCCAGTTGCGCCTCATGTAGTTAGTTTGTTATTAGATTCTTAGGTTGTCAATTTTTGTGTATAACCTATGCTGAATTGTAAATTTGTTTAATATATTAGAATTATACAGGTTTTTTTTTGATATGGATAACTTCAAAATGATCGACTTTCTTGATTATGTCGAAAACGAGGAAATATAGTTAGAAATTCTGTTAAAAATGATGCGCGAAGCGCCAAAAAAAAAGTTGGTATTTTTTCTTAATTAAGACAAAATTTGATAAAAAAAATACGGTCCACTTAAATCATAATCATGCTGGAGATCATGGGTGAGAGGGGGGCGAAATATGCTGATGAAGGGGGGTGAAACTCGGTTCGCCCCCCCTAGTTGCGCCACTGGCCGGGGCATCATACGGCATGGCCCGTATATAGCTAGAAATGTGTAAAGGGTGGGGGTCACAAATTAAAGAAATGGGTCACTCGATGAAGAGGGATATTTATCTTACAACATATAAAAAAAATTAATATTTGTTTTGACAAGTCGTGTAATTCCCGGGTCCATATATTGGCAGGGAGGATTGTCCAGGGCCCATGATATTGGCAGGCAAGCTAGGGGTGGGGGGGGGAGCATGCAGCTGATATCTGACTAACCGCTCTGCCTCCACACAGTATACACAACACACAAGGATTCACGCAAAATAAGAAAATCCACGAAAAAAAACAATTTGTGAAGAATGAAGTGATGGGCCGCGTGTGGGCCCGGACAATAAAATGCCCACCAACACATTTCTGAGAATATCTCAGTTAGTTTTATCTCTTTTAGTCCTCATTACCGATGGAGGTTCGTATTGAATTTTATCTTTTTTATAAATCACAAAGAATATATTGTGGCGTAACCCAGATTACTTTGTATTACGTACATTTCTTTGTATAGCAGAATGGTCTCAATTATTTCTTTTCAACTTTGAATTAAAAAGGGCAAAGCGCTCGGCCCCCTAGCCTGTCCTAGCCGCAGTGCTCGGTCCAGAAAGTGTCTTAACCTAACCTAACCCGGTACTAATTTAATTGAAAATTTTTGAAAAAGTGGTCATGTACAAAATTTAAAGGAGGGGGTGGGGAGGTCCAAAAATCGTTCTCTAGGACAGACCCCAAGTTGCCGGCCCTGCCAGAAGCCAGAAGCCTTGTTTTTGTTAAGAAATAAACTATAGTTCCTAAGCTGTCCAAATACGTCTCATGGAAATGTAAACAAATCCTTTACTCCCTACCTTAAAGATTTCAGGAATGTTACTTTATCTGAACTAGAGCCGTTGAAGCTACTTCAGCAATGGAACCATATGAAAATTAGAAAACTACTTATTTTGTGAATTTTATCTTTCTTGAGTTTTTGATGCATTAAGCGCTAGTAAAGCATTAACTTAATATCAAATAATATCTAAAAGTTTGCTGATGTAAAATATGTAAATAAAAGATTAACGTTTGTTCAGGTCGGAGTAAGAGAACTCCACTGAGTGACTTCGTTCAACATTATGAACCCCTCTCTTACTCTACTAGTAGTATACATAAGAGCCATTTAAGGTAAAAACATGATATATATTGCAATAACAGCAGCAACTACGGTGGTAGGTGATTTTATCAATATAATTAAGACGACTTTCGATTTAAATTTTGATTTATGTTAAGCTTTTAAACAATTAGAGAAGATGTCGATTTAATTAGTGGTAAGCTTGTTATTTGAAAAAAGCTTGTTAACAATTAAAACTTCAATAAAAAAGTTGTCTTCAGTATATTATCCGCCGTAGATTATTTATTTAATTACATGTTTGAGTTCACGTTTTTATTTTTTGAGTATTGTCTATAAAACTTTATTTGTGTTTCATAGGAAATGATGCCCAAAGCCCATGTACAAAATCAAAATGTCGTTAAGATTAATAAAAATATGAAGATTGAACTCAACATAAAATGGTGAAAGTGACTGCCCCTTTTTAATGAAATAAAAAATCTTATAACATTAGCTGAGATAAAATAATCTACCAACATTAACTTAGCTTGAATAATCTACCAAGTATCAAAATTAACTAAGATTGAATAATCTACCAAGTATCAAAATTATCTAAGATTGAATAATCTACCAACATTAACTGAGATTCAATAATCTACCAAAATTAACTAAAATTGAATAATCTACCAATATTAATTGAGATTGAATAATCTACCAAGTATCAAAATTAACTATAAGATTGAATAATCTACCAAGTATCGAAATTAACTAAGATTGAATAATTTACCAATATTAACTGGGATTGAATAATCTACCAACATTAACTGAGATTGAATAATCTTCAAGTATCAAAATTAACTAAGATTGAATAATCTACCAACATTAACTGAGATTAAAAATCTGTCAACACCCAAAAGCAAAGTCTATACTAAAAGCTGCAGTAAAAATGAAAAATCTGCCAAAATTTATTTAAATCGGAAATCTACCAACACATCTAAGAAAAGAAATCTGCCAACACTAACCGATATTTCACTATCTAGGCATAAGCGAGCTATTCAAGAAGATAAGGAGGATGTTAAGATTGTCTTCAAAGCTTTTAATCAAGAGTTTAGCCTTCTCCTAACCCAGGATCCGTCTATATTCCACAAGGTAAAGTTTAAAGGGATACCCTTCATTTTAAGAGGGTCATGTCCGATTCACAACTATAATTGAATCAGTAGCTTGGAAAATATCGTTGTTTTTTCTTGCAAGAATAATGGGCAATTCACTTTTCAGAGAACCTACAATTCAATATCGTCAATTCTTAAGAGAAAAACATGGATATCTCATAAATTCGTGGTGAGACAAATTTTTTAAGGTGCCGTTGTGAATTGGACATATATGCAGAGTCACAAAAACAACGATTATTCTACCTTTGAGGGGTGTATATTTTCTAGAAAATCCCCCCACAACCTCTATAAAAATTTTTTTTTTGTTGAATTAGGGGAAATGAGCATGACACCCAACTATGTATGTGTTCAGTTGCCCCCCCCCCCCTGAAAATCATTTTATAACTAATTATTTTCTTCATTAAATTTTCTTCATTAAATTTTCTTCATTAAATTTTCTTGATAAAATCCACCTGTTTTAAAGGTTTAAATATTTTCAACCTTTATGTAACGAAGAAACACTTGAACGCTTTATTATGCTTATTGCACACATCCTTGAATATTATGTAACTAGGTTTTCAGGACGCTTCGTGCCTCTTTGTTAGTATCAATTCATGTTGTTCTAATCCACCATTTTTATTCATATCAAAACAAAGATTTTCCCAGATTTTTTAGATTTTCTTTGATGGATTTCCGAAAAAATTCAAAATTTAATATTCATCAAACAACCTTCTCTGGTTCATGTGAATACCACAAACAAATTGGGCCGATCGGTTTAGAAAAACAAACCGGACCTTTGATTCATTCTTTTTTTTCTAGGATTATTATGGAGAGGGTCCTGGGGGCGTGTCTTTATCCCACCTTGACCACTCCCACTATCACGGGGTGGTGGAGGGGGACCCGGACAGTCACGTCTACGGGTCCATCAGGGACGGAGTGTTTGATGGAGAAATTAAAACCAAAGACGAGACTTATTTTGTTGAACGATCTCATAGATATCTTCCATACGATTCTTCCCGCCATTCTGTGATATACAAAGATAAGCATGTAATAGTTCCGGTGGAAGGCGGATGTGCGGCGGATGCCGGTACTCGGGACTGGATGGATAAGGTTCAGTTCTCCGCCGTGGAAGAGGAGGAGGAGGAAGAAATTTCACCCCCGACGCCGATAAGTCCAGCCGCCTTAAAACAAAGGTAAAACACTTCCTCGGAGTCTTCTTTTGCAAACCTTAATAAAAGAAAAGAGAAATATTAATAAAGAGCATATCAAAGAAAAATTTGTATGCATCCGATATTTTATAAAACAAAATACTTTTAAAAATACTGAATATCTTTTTACCTTCAAATTAAACCCAAAATTTTGATGGGGTATGAAAATTTTTTTATTAAAAAACACTTGAACATTTTAAAAAGAATCAATACTAATGTAAAATTAAATGGCGACTATATTTAAGTATTAATAACGGCGGAGAAGACCTGGCTCTGCCCCGGGACCCGAGCCCTGAGTATAAGTGGACCGCCTCTGCCAATCGTGTAAAGAGGCGGGCCCTGAAACCTCCAAGCAACAAAAAAACTTGTTCTTTATTCATACAAACAGATCCGCTCCTATGGAACCATATTTGGGCCCAGGTAAAAAAATTTTATATAAAAAGATATTTTCTTAAAAAATGAAAGAAATTTTCCCTATTGTAAGGGTTTATTCCGTAAGCGTATTTCCAAATGACTTTCAATGCAAGATGGCAATGTCGGATTCACAATGGTACTCTGGAAACTTTTATTTGATAAATTTATTTTTGTTTTTCTAGGTTTTTAAGTTATAATTTTGATAATTACGCAAGTCACTTTTTAGAAAAACCACAATTAAAATGAACAGTTTTCAAAATTATAAAAATTCTTACTTGATCAGCTTTTAACTTTTAAAGGTCCTCTTAGCAGGGAGGGCTTTTAAACGTACAATTGGAGTAAATATATGATCTATTTGAGGGGTAAAAAATATCAAAAAGGCAGGATCAAACTTCCTATTTGGTATCTAATTTTTCATTGGTTTTCAGTTCATCTGAAACGGGAGAAGGGGGGGGGGGGGGAGGATTGATGCTTATACATTTTTACCCCTACAAAAAATTCCCTAAAAAATTGTTGACTAGACATAGGTGTTTATTGAGCTTTAACGTGTTGTTGTTGTTAAAAACTCAGTTTTACACCATTTTTATGTTATTTCTAATTTTCATATCATGGCATGTTCCTTCATGTTTTTTTGTTTATATATTTCATTTAATTTATATTTCACACAAAAAATAGATACGATAGAAATAATACGATTGCTCAAAATTTCGCGGGATATTTTTTATTTTATCTCTAGTTCTGATACTTGTTTGAAAACAATATTACTTAATAAAATAAAATAAAAAAGGGCTGAGACAAAAATGGTTCCAGATTATAGATTGGTTCAATTATAAATTGGCGGATTGATTGATTGATTGATTATTTCAGGAACGAATTCGTTTGCAAGATAAACCGAATGCTGATGTTGATGCAAAGGAAAAACATTTATAGAATTCTCTTGCTTAGATAAAAAGTTTGGGCAAAATTGATTGAAATAAATACTAAGATTGAAAGTTTTACTTCTTATTTGATCAAGATTTGCGTTTAGATTTTCCCAAACATTTAGTATGCTCTCAAACTTGATATTTTGATTTCACTACTTCAAAAAGAAAACTTTTGAAATAATTTTTACAGTAAAAAAATATAATATTACAAATTTAATCATTTATTTTGCATTACAAAACATTAAATTCAACCCTGATTCTCGCCTCTGCACTTATTCTATTTTCGTGAACACGTCTTTTAAAAATGTTTTTTTTACTCTTTCTCTACCCCCCCCCCTCCTCCCCCTCCGCATTTTATAGAAAAAATATTTTTACTCCGTCTTGTTTTTAACTCTGTTGATTACACTGACCCTATATATTGAACAATAAATTCACGGATGGCTGACCACGAAGTTTGCACATTTTTGCACAACAAGCACAGCAGCAGGGCATAGAATTCACTTAGTTGGCGGTTTTGAGATCATTTTTAATTGTTTCTGGGATTTAAACAAAAAGTTAGATATATTGCTTTTTCCAGTGCGTAGGATCCATTTAATTTTGATGCACATCTGGATCCGCACTGGAAAAAATGGTAATTTTTAAAATATTTTCTGAATTTTTTAACAAAAAAAATAATTTTCAAATTTTATTTTTTTTTCGCTTATTTTTATACTAAAACTTGATGAACCATTCAGAAATGAGTAAAGTTTTATAATCTCCCTTTTTTCAAAAGTTCAGATTTGGGTTTTAGGAGTAAAAAAGTTTTTGCAGTTATTGGTTGATATTTTACTCCTTGGATCCGGATTCGTGGATCCGCATATTTTGCGGATCCGGATCCTAAGCACTGCTTTTTGCATTAGAAACTTTTTTGTTGTCTTCATCTAAACAAGTAAACTCTGTTTTTAATAGTGGATTATTCCCGTCCGTCTAAAAAAACATCTGCGATAGCCTTATATGGGCTTTGCTTCCACTCTTTAAATTACTAATTGTGATATTTTTTGAAATTTATTCTTTTAACTTAACGTCATACAAGTTAGCCGTCTGGAAAATAGTTTGTTATCTGGATAATAGTTTGTTATATCTGGATAATAGTTTGTTATATCTGGATAATAGTTTGGGGGTAAAAACAATTGATATTTTGTGACAAACAGCGTAATATCAAGTCTAAATTTTGTCATGATTTTTATGATCTCTGAATTTTCTTGTCTTGAAATGAATGTTTATTGTTTAGACTCAAGAAGAAATATTATCTCTCATAGCACAACATGTTAAGGTAAGCAGCTAATCAACGTATTTTCAGGGGTTTATATTTTCTTTAAAAGTCATTCCNTAATTACCCTATATATTTTTAAAATTTAAGGTATATTTTTTAAGTTATACTTCCAGTTTCTCATGTTGCAAATCCGATATCGATTTTCGTATCATGAATACGTCTATATTACTTATCGAATTTAATTTATGAAATGTAAAATATTATCCAGATTTCCAAGGGAATGGGATAAAGAGTCCTTTCAGTTTTTCACTTTAGTGATTACTAATTTCAACTGACCCTCCAGTTAAAGAGGGACATGCCTGATTCACAGCGCTATTATTGAAACCCTTATCTGATCAACTATGTGGAAGAACATGTCATTTTTCTAGAGTGTTAAATTCTGAAGTGAATATAATCATTTCTCAAAATCCAAAACATGGATATCCTTTTCATACTTGATCAGACAAAGTGTGGAAGGGTACCGTTGTAAACTGTAAATTCTTCTAAATGGAAGGTCATGGGAAATAACGTTTACGGACCCTTTAAGTTAATTAAGCCAGCGAAAAAGTGTTTTCACACTCCTGACAATTTTAGACACGCAATTGATTGTGAAATTAGTAATAACTAATATTTGCATGAGTGTTCACACACCGTAATAAATAATGTTTTTAAAATGTACTCCTTCCCCTGCTGACATTTGAAGAGAAACATTTAAAAATAAAAATTAAAGTCTAGTTAAACCGGAAATGAAAATAGTTCATTTTTAGAGAGAAAAATAAGGATTTTTTATCACTTTTTCTCAGACTATAGGGCAACGGTTTAAAGCGTGTCTCCCTGATTCGGATCATTCGGATCACAAACAAGGGGGGAGGGGGGNGGGGGATTTCATAAACAAGGGGGATTTCTTAAACAAGGGGGATTTCTTAAACAAGGGGGATTTCTTAAACAAGGGGGGGGATTTTGAAAAGATCTACTTCTCCCTGTTTGACGCCTGAAAGAGGAACATTTAAAAATTAGATCTATTTCTAGAAATTAAACCGCAAATGTAAATTATTCCTTTTCGGATAAAAAAATAGGATATTTTCATTATTTTCCCCCAGAGTATGTGATTTAAACGTATATCGGTTGGATGTTGTAACTTACAAGTACGCCAATATTCCCTTATATATAATATTGAGGGAAGCAGATATTTCATATTTTATCACGCTCTTCAACTACTGTTACAATAGATATAGATATATTACTAATTATACACTAGGTTAGATACATGATACTTGTTATTTAATATATTTAATTACCAACAATTAAGTTAAAGGGAGCTGAGTATGGGGGATTCATGAAATACAATATAATTATAATTATAAAGATTTATTCACACACAAAGATATAAATACATATATAAATGGTGTCGTTTAAATTTGTTTCAATAAATTTTTGAATACTACTATTATAATACTAGGCTGTATAGGCACTTCGCGCCCCGTTTTTATTAACAGTTTTAGACATTTTTAACTGTCCTGTAATTTTCGATGATATTTCTATTTTACTGAGCTCGCTTTTTTCTAAATCATAACTTTTCATCGAACCGAAGAAACCCAGCAATGGGTCTGTTCCTGGCAGATCTCCCATCAGAGTCTACTCTCGGGATAGTGGACCATTTTCCATGGATATGCTAGATGGATGCTGGATAGGAGCGTTGGTCCCAACTTCCTCGAACGACAGTTTGTCTTTTAACAAAATAATTAATTTTCTTTTTGCAGGCTGTGAATAAGATATACGGAGATACAGAGTTCGATGCTGGGAAATACAGTCACACTGGGCATACCTTCGAGGTTCAGAGAATCAAGATCTATAATAGCTCAGATTGTACAGGTGAAACATAATATTTATTTTCAAACATGAAATCCACCAAAAGATATTCTAAAAATCCGCAAACTTAAAGTTTTAATGTCGAATCATGATAAGAAAAAAATCTACAGTGACTAGGGATAAATATAAGGGGCTGTAAAACTGATTTGAAGTAAACCTCCAATCTCCATACAAAGATGGAAAAGCTCCATTCACAACGGTACCCTTGAAACCTTCATCTAATCAATAATATGCAAGATATCGTCGTTTTCCAAGTTAAAAGTGTTTAATTCTGTTAATTCCAATACTTTTTCTTGCAGAGGAAATGCGCAGACCACTTATTGAAAATAATAATTTTTCAAAATAATAAATATTGATATATAATTCATACTTTGATCAGATAAAGTTTTCGAGGGTACCATTGTGAATCGGACATTGGAATCTTTGCATGTAGGGTCACTTCAAATTACGTTTACAGTCCCTTTAAATACTATATAGACCAAAAAATATAAGCAGTGTGATCCATTGTTCTCAAAAAGTTTATTTTAAAAAATACTCTTAGACCTTTTTGCTTGATAATAAAAAAAAATGTCTTAAAAGTTATCTTCGTATTCTACAGATTTATGGGTACAATCGTTTGATAACACCTCCACAATTATCTATATTCATATTTACAGGAAGTCCTAGAAATGAGACGAATCCGTTCTGTTTATCCAACATTGATGTCTCCAACTTCTTAAACCTTCATAGTAAAGAAAACCATCAACATTTTTGCCTGGCTTATGTTTTTACCTACAGGTATATATGAACACATTTTAATTCACAAATAAAGTACGATTGATTGATTGATTGATTGATTGATTGATTGATTGATTGATTGATTAACATATTTACTCTTCAGGGACTTTACTGGAGGTACTCTTGGTTTAGCCTGGGTGGCTAGCGCCAGTGGCGCCAGCGGCGGAATTTGTGAGAAGTACAAAACTTACGCGGAAAACATTAATGGTATTCATCATAAGGCAAAGCGAAGTCTTAATACAGGTAAAAGTTTTCAAAGTTTTTTTTTGCTATTTTTTTTAGCTATGCTAGGGGCTATAGACCTAATCAACTTTATTTGTCTTCTAGCTTTTTAAAAATAAATATATTTCAAAGAAACTAAATGTGAAAGCATAAAGATTTTAACTACAGTATTAGTAAAATGGAGTTAAAACCATTGATTTGGATATATATTATTTAATACAAAGCTTTAAAGGGTACCGTTGTGAATCGGACATTCTACTCTTGTACTGCACAGCAAACTACATGTTTAATATTTCAGGAATTATCACTTTTGTGAATTACAATTCCCGTGTACCTCCGAAAGTTTCCCAATTAACCCTGGCCCATGAGATCGGGCACAATTTCGGGTCCCCTCACGACTATCCTCAGGAGTGTAGACCAGGTTAATCTTTTTATTCAATTTCGAGAGAAATTATCACACCTAATATTTCCCGTTTGTTGGGCGATAAAGTGGCTTTATCGACCTACTATTGAAATTTTTAATTTTACACCTAATATTTACCATAGTAGGGGATAAAGTTTCTTTATCCCCCTACAACAGGGCCATACAACAATACTTTTATTTTGATCAAAAACAAACTAGAAATTTAGTAATAGTCCCAGCATAAACTTTTTCGCACTTACTTAAACTATTAGAATGACATAAATAGATATTATTCCAATAAATTCTGTTTTTATTTGAAAAGAATACTTTTTTCCTTAAAAAATATTTACCTGCTAACAATTACTATAAAACGTTTAAGGGGTTTATTAAAAAAATGATTTTTGGTAAAATATAGCTCATCTTGAAATTATGAAAATTGCTATTATTTTTAATTTGATTTTGATGCGGATGAACCATTCAGAAATCAGGAAATTTTTATAATCTATCCTTTTTTTAATAGTTCAGATTTGGGTTTTGACAGTAAAAATTTTTGTTTTGCAGTTTTTCGTTAATATTTTGCCCTTTGGATCCGGATCCGTGGATATGCATATTTTTGCTGATCCGGATCCAGGAAGCCAAAATCTTGCGGATCCAGATCTTAAGCACTGATTTTTTTTCTTTTTCCACTGATTAACTTAATTCGCCACTTTTTAGCAAAATTCAGAAATTTCATTAAAAGCTTTATAAAGATCATATGTTTTTCTTGTTTACTCAAAAACCTATAATATAGATGCTTGTTTATAATTTTGTTTGTGATCTTTAATATGTTAACAAACATATTTACATTATGAATGATTGTCTCAAATATTAGATTTAAAAAAAAAAATTTATTTATAAATATGTTAACAAATATATTTACTTATATGTATGTTCAGGTGAAATAAAGAAAAATTAATTATAATTTCAAAAAAAATAAAATATATAAAAATTTTTTTTTTGTTTTATAAAACTAATATGCAGTTTTTTTTAGGAGGGGGGGGGCGGAAAATAGATAAATATCAGACGTTTTGTTTGTTTACTAATAAACCTGTAAACAAAACAAAAATGTTTATTGTTTTCAAGATTGAATGTTTGTTTAGGTGGTGGAAGAGGAAACTACATAATGTTTGCGAGCGCTACATCTGGAGATAGAGATAATAACAATAAATTCTCCGCCTGTTCTATACAGAATATATCAGCTGTTCTGGACGCCCTGGTGGATGAACGGAAAACCAACTGCTTCGAGGTTGGTTTTAATTCCAAATACTTGTTTCAATAAACCCATATATATATTCTATAATATCTATACATATAAAGTTATAATCTCTGTTTGTCTGTCGGTCGACTTTTATAGTGAAAATTTATTTTCCCGGTAAAATCGACCAAGTGCGGGTAAACGGCGGGAGTAACTATGAGTACCCTGTGCAGTGAGCAGCGCTGGGTTCTCAATCTACTTTCATATATATAATATATATCGTCTAATTAACGCCCTAAATCTATAAATAATTGTAATCTTTCATAACCCTCTCACTACACTTATCCGACATTGAGCTATTTTTTACTTTATTCCTCCTTCTTGTTAATGTCATAATGTTTTTTTTTAAATAAAGTTGATGAAAAGAACTTTTATCCATTTCATTGGTTTGTTAATGTTCATTGTTCACAATTATCTTTTTTTAAATAAAGTTGATTATATACTTATAGTTATAAGTTATAAAACTCCTTTATTTCCTAAAAAGGTTTTTTTTGTCGTCTTCCTTTTGAGAAGAAATTCTTCAGACAGAAAATCCGCGAAATTTAAAATTTAAAATCCACAATTCAGTAGTATCCAGCTCGGCATTATTTGAAGATATGACTCGTTTATTCATTAAAAAATTATTGTCGTGACCTTATATTTTTAGTTTTAATGTCAAAGCTGTAAAAATATTCAAAATCCATTTCAGACATTTAATCAGTTTTATTTAGATGAAGAGGATTTGATACTGCGACGAGTTGAATTTTCTTTTCTTTCAGGAAAGTGATGGAGCTTTCTGTGGGAACAAGATCGTGGAGGAAGGGGAGGAATGTGATTGTGGGTTTGATGAGATCGAGTGCACTGAACAGGTGAAATATTAAAAAAACATTTGATTCATAGAAGAATAGGGGTTTATTCTCTGGGAGTTTTACTGCTATTTGGGTAAAAAACAGGATTTTAAGAAACAAATTAACCAGTTTTATGGTTAAAATTTATTTCAAACAATAATATAACCTTTAAAGTCTAATTTAACCCACTTCCGGGGACCCAGTCTCTAAAAAATGATTACTAAATTAAATGAGTTTTACTTTCGACAGTGCTGCCACCCCCGGATGAATTCGTCCCTAAGTGAAGCAGAAAACAAGATAAACCGTTGTACAAGAAAGCTTGGTGTACAGTGCTCACCAAGCCAGGGGAAATGTTGTACAAACACCTGTCAGGTAGGAGAGTACAATTGTACAATATGTGTTCACTGTTTAGTGACTAAATCTAGTGAATGAGTTTCTGTTAATAAAATAATAATAAAATTGATCTGAGCTGAAAACTTTAGAATGGTATGGATATCGAGATTAATGCTTGATCCTCTCTTTTTCTTAATATCGAGACTAACCTAATCTTGTACTTGTATACTCAATCAAGGTCGCATATATGAAGCCGATAAATCTAAAATTTTGCGCGTCATATAAGATTAAAATACAGAAACGGTAGGGACTTTCAAATTTTAAAAAACCGGTTTGATTTTACTCTACTATATACAAGGAATCCAAGAAAGAACGATTTAAAAAGAAAATCAAAAGTGTGTACATTTGATACTCAGATTAAGTAATCGGGATTAAGGATATATCTCATTCTAAAGTTTTCAGATCTGATCGGAGAATTTTTGTCATAAATATCCGGAAAAGCAAAGACATTCGATATCCAATGAACAAACTTGAAGACGGGCTTCAAGTATAATAATCAAGATCCAATTAAGTCGTAAATTCGCAAATTTCACCTCATAACATAAATTCTGCTAGAAATTTCTAGACTTATTACAGCCTCTATTGGTCTCATTTTACACTAAGAAGGACAACAAACTATTTTATTTCTTTGAAAAGCTATTTAGTGATTTATTTCTATTTTATTGCTTGCCAGGAGGCAAATAACTAACCGAAAACGTTCCACTTTCGGACTAATTAACTATTATTTATAATCCTGACTTTGTACCTACTCATACTAAGTTTCATTGATTTTAGCGTATATTTTTCAAAGTAAGATTTTTTACTCATTTCCTGAATTTGAGAAAAGTTATTAGAACAACTTAAACAACATTTAACTTTACAGTTACACCCATGAGGGATAACTATTTGGATCATGTTGTTACAGTATTTTTAGCTTTGTTTTCATGTATTTAGTTTGTACCGTCCTCAGACCGTGTACAGTGCCAGGGTATGCGGGACTGTACGGAACCATCATTCTGTAAGGGAGATCAGGCCACGTAAGTAAATAAGTTAGATCAGGGGCATATTCAGGAATTTTTCCGGAGAGGGGAGTTCTTTTTGACATTCCAGTTGAGGCTCTGCCCTCGTTGGGTAGAATTGCGCTCTAGTTTTCTCATTGCCCCTTCTCTGTATATTGTATACGCCCCTGAATAAAACAATACCTGTGAATACCTTTGTTGATTTTTACGACAATTTTGGTATTTTTATGCCTTGCAGTACGGATCTGTAAATTTATTTCAAATGGTAGAATTTTTCCAAGATGATATAAATAACTAAGATGATTGACCCCCTTCGGTGTTTGTCTAGGTGCCTTTAGCATATGATGATAATGTTGATAATGATGATAATGATGATAATGATGATAATGATGATAATGATGATATTGTCTAGGTGTCCTAAACCAAAGAATAAGATAGATAACGAGACTGAATGCAATGAAGGCACAAAGGTCTGCCAGGCAGGAGAATGCAAGGGCAGCATCTGCCTTAAATACGGGATGGACCAGGTTAATATTTGATACATTTTATTTTAATTATGTTAACTGATTAAAGTGGAGTTGATCCGAAACATTGGTTATAAGTAAACCATCTATTACAATATATTTCTTAACATTTTGAATTATGATTTAGTGTGTGATACCAATCACACTTGGCTTTAAATCATCTGGGATACACAAACCTTATTTCATCTGGGATACACAAACCTTATTTCATCTTGGATACACAAGCTCTATTTCATCTTGGATACACAAGCTCTTTTTCATCTTGGATACACAAGCTCTTTTTCATCTTGGATACACAAGCTTGATTTCATCTTTGATACAAAATTTTGAACTAATATTGGATACACAAGCTTGATTTCATCTTAGATTTATAAGCTTTTATGAATATTGGATACATAAGTTTGAATTAATCGTGGATATAAGCTTTTATGAATATTGGATACACAAGTTTAAATTAACCGTGGATACAAGCTTTTATGAATATTGGATACACAAGTTTGAATTAACCGTGGATACAAGCTTTTATGAATATTGGATACACAAGTTTGAATTAACCGTGAATACAAGCTTTTATGAATATTGGATACACAAGTTTGAATTAACCGTGGAAACAAGCTTTTATGAATTTGGGAAACTTAAGCTTGAATTAACCGTGGATACAAGCTTTTATGAATTTGGGAAACTTAAGCTTGAATTAATCGTGGATACAAGCATTTATGAATTTGGGATACACAAGCTTTAAGTAATTTAAAATAAATACATAAGCACCTTTTACAGTTTATACACAAACATTATACCAACAAAATGTTGAATATTCTAGTGTTTCCTGTCCTCTAAGAATGAGCACAGTACAAGATCTCTGTGTGATCTGGCTTGTATGAGTCGAGGGGTGAATAAAACCTGCAAATCTACAACAGAATGGGCTCTAACCGGTGAAATAACGGGTAAAACATGTTTTTAATCCTGAGCAGTAATTAGTTTTGAGATTAGGACTTTAGTTTGGTGAGTCCCACACTGCTGCAACTGGACCATCAAGTTTCAAGTCAAAACACCTAAAACTTTTATTAGGAATATATGTATATGCAGTCTACTGAGTTATAATCTCAACTTTCAGAAAATGCCACCCAGGAAATTTTAAGCAAATCCATTTTTAAGAAATTGCAGAAATCAAGTCTAAAATTAAACGAAAATTTCGTTTCAATACGTAAATCTGCTTCTTCTGGGGTTTTTGACGATTTATTTTTAACAGTATATAGCAAATTTTTTATTTTTCTTTAACAGTCATGAAACATATTGTAGTAAAAAATCAAACCCCCAAGTCAACTGCCTGACTGTCAAAATACGGCCCGAAAAAAGTGTAATTTTTCCTGATTTTACTTCAAAAAAACTTATTTAGGCATTTGTTATGCAATTATACAGTTCACTTCAGGCTTTGATTTTTTTGCTGAAACATGTTTTATGAATGTTAAGGAAAATTCACAAAATGTGGGGATCTTGTCATTAATTGTTCTAAAAACAACGCAAAAAACTCAAGCTTGATTAATTCTTAAACCTACAGTTAAATTTGAGTTTAGACCTGAAAATGTATTGGATTTCCTTTAAATTACCTGGGTGACATTTTCTGAAAATTGAGCTTTTAACTTTGGAGACTGCACAGTGCATATTAATATAAACCAAAGAAAAACTTCAGGAGTTTTGACTTGAACCTGATGGTCCATTTTCTGCCGTGTTGAACTAATTGATATCTTTGGTGGTCCAACGGGTTCTTTTTTAGATCAACCAATTCAAAATTTTATCTTCGTCGATGAAAAATTGCCAAAATATCATCCAGCTGGTTTTAATGGATTAAGCACCTAAACGCTTTAAAATTGAATATTATTATTATATAGCCTTTTCTCTAACAAAAATACCGACATTAGAAATATTTGACACAGGACGAAAATTAGATTGTAAATATAATCTCTACAATAAAACAAGACACTCTTATATATATATTACTGGATTACTGGAAAATTTTTCGTTGGGAGATCACTTTGTGACGTTGCGTATAGCCGACCTAACGGCTGGACCGATTGGGCTGAATTTTTTTGTGGACACTCGTGGGTGGCCGGGAGTGTTGTAGGCTAAAAAAAATCCCAATTTTTTTTTCAAAATTAAACGCCGAGCCCTTCAGCTACAGTGAAACCCTTAATAACGAATACATCGAAAGAATTCATCAAATGTCGTATTCTTCATTTTCTGATAATGGAATGTTGAAGATATTTAGTTTTTTAATTAAATGATTATATGGAACTCTTTAAAACTGTTCCCGCATATTCATGGTTATTTATTTATTTAGTATTTAGTATAAAACTTATTGAAAAATTGTCAAGACGACATTTTATAAATTCTTCCGATGTATTCGTTATTAAGGGTTTCACTGTAGTTATTATTATTTATGCTCATTAAAGATGAACTAGTCTTGTAAAGATGGAAAATTAAAAATACTGGAATTAAATAGTATTTGTAAATAATTTTACATACCATAAAATAAAGAGTATTTTTTTTATATTTAACAATAAAAAGAGTTAAAGGTGTAAACTAAATGGATTGGAAAAGTAAAACTATGTAGAATAAGTTGAACCAAGGTAAACCCACTACTCTCGCTATTTATTAAATCTGGTCCTAAACTGAGGAGAATGTTAATAGATACAGAATATTATTAATCTATTCAGGATTAACCGAGGGTATGACATTACGACCAGGATCTCCTTGTGATAACTTCCAAGGATACTGCGATGTTTTCTTCAAATGTAGACAGGTATATTTTATAAATAAATTTTTAATCTCTGTTTGTTTGTTTTGATATCCGATCATAACTCAAGAACCCCTAGACCGATTTGCCTCAAATTTAAATTGGAAAGCTCGGAAGAACAACGGGAATGTTCCAAACTTAGTTTTTAGAATATAAGTTGAGTGGTCGACTTTTATAGAGAAAATTATAGTTAAAATTGTAATTTAAGACCAAGCGCGGGTTAAAGGTGGGAGTAACTACGAGTTCTTAGGGCAACGCTGGGTTCTCAAGCCATTTTTTTAATATATGATGATAGAATACCTTTTAGAAATCATAATTTTAAGATTTAAACAGGCTTTGAGAGATAATTGTTCTAGTTATATATATTTTTAATGTGGGAGGGGGTGACGTACTTTCTTGATAAATTATATATGCTTTAATCACTGGTAAATAAATAAATGTTTGGGTAAAATTAAAAAATAGTTAAGTGTCCAATTTTTTAATTTGTCTACATTATACTTACTGTTTGATTGACAACTTCATAATTGTGATAATAATAATGGTATTTTTTGTCAGGTTGATGCTGAGGGACCCCTGGTTCGGTTGAAAAATCTTCTGTTCAATCAAGAAACCCTGCTCACCATAGCACAGTGGGTTACGGTAAGCTAATAGTTGTCCTTTCCATTCATTGTATTTGTACAGCTCCTTATTAGATAAGATATTTAAACTCTTTTAAAATAAAAGAAAGAAATTTCCTGGGTCAGGAACAGTGCTTAGGGTCCGTATCCGGATCCGCATAAATATCCAAGGGGCAAAATATCAACTCACTTGCTATCAATTCACTTTATATCAACTCACTTGCTATCAACTCACTTACTATCAACTCACTTGCTATCAACTCACTTGCTATCAACTCACTTGCTATAAACTCACTTGCTATCAACTCACTTGCTATCAACTCACTTGCTATCAACTCACTTGCTATCAACTCACTTGATATCAACTCACTTGCTATCAACTCACTTACTATCAACTCACTTGCTATCAACTCACTTGCTATCAACTCACTTACTATCAACTCACTTACTATCAACTCACTTACTATCAACTCACTTACTATCAACTCACTTGCTATCAACTCACTTGCTATCAACTCACTTGCTTTCTGTTTCAATTGCTCTCAGGCCTTACTTGGTCGCCGCCACACTTGCTGTCTAGCCTCATTTGCTATCAGGTCAATTTGCTATCAGGCCTCACTTGCTATCAAAACGTTTGATCTCCATTCTGAACTGCTATCAAAGCTCATCTGCTATCCAAAACTAGTTACATCTAAATACGTTGCTACCAATATTAGTTGTTTTCTAAATAAGTTGCTATCCAAACCAGTTCTTAGTTGATACAAAAACCAGTTCTTAGTTGATAAGAAAACAAGTTCTTAGTTGATATCAAAACCAGTTCTTAGTTGATATCAAAACCAGTTCTTAGTTGCTATCAAAACCAGTTCTTAGTTGATATCAAAACCAGTTATTAGTTGATACAACAACCAGTTCTTAGTTGATACAAAAACCAGTTCTTAGTTGTTATCAAACACTAGTTTAAATAATATGCATGTTAAAATCATATTAATTTTTAAAATGAAACTGGGCGAACGGTAATAATTACAATAATGCAGTATGTATTCAATTAAAAATCGTCATTTAGTCATCTTTATAAAACGAACAATGTTGTTCATATATAAACCCAAAGGCATGTTATCAAAGGCTCTATGCTTCATGCCCACGCAAAGTTTGAAGAATTCCAAGTTTTAAGAAATTTTTCCATAAGGATTAAGAGCAAGTCGAAAATTTGATAGCAAAAGATGTTTAATAGCAAAATTGTTGATTGCAACTGAGGATTGATAGCAAGTAAGGCTTGAAAGCGAATGTGTCGATAGCAGTTGAGGTTGGATAGCAAATGAGACTTGATAGCAAATGAATGTGATCGAAACTCAGTTGATAGTAAATGGGTTTGATAGCAAATGTTTGGATAGCACGGGAGGCTAAAAGCAACTGATTTTGATTGCAAGTGAGTGGTAAGCAAGCGAGTTGATAGCCAATGATCATGCTCCGAATATTATTAATTCTAGACCTACTGGTATGCTGTCCTACTCATGGGAATGGGATTTGTAATATTCATGGCTCTCTTCATTAAATGCTTTGCAGCTCACACTCCTTCCAGGTTAGTTTACAACTACCAGCTCACAGCCCTTTAAGGTTAGTTTACATTACCAGCTCACACTCCTTCCAGGTAAGTTTACAACTACCAGCTCACCCCTCTTCTAGGTTAGTTTACTACTACCAGCTCACAGCCCTTCAAGGTTAGTTTACTACTACCAGCTCACACTCCTTCCAGGTTAGTTTACAACTACCAGCTCACTCATCTTCCAGGTTAGTTTACAACTACCAGTTCACACCTGTTCAAGGTTAGTTTACTACTACCAGCTCACACTCCTTCCAGGTTAGTTTACAACTACCAGCTCACAGCCCTTCAAGATTAGTTTACAACTACCTGCTCACACCTCTTCAAGGTTAGTTTGCAACTACCTGTACCAGCTCACAGCACTTCAAGGTTAGTTTACAACTACCAGCTCACAGCACTTCAAGGTTAGTTTACAACTACCAGCTCACAGCCCTTCAAGGTTAGTTTACTACTACCAGCTCACACTCCTTCCAGGTTAGTTTACAACTACCAGCTCACACCTCTTCAAGGTTAGTTTGCAACTACCCGTACCAGCTCACAGCACTTCAAGGTTAGTTTACAACTACCAGCTCACAGCCCTTCAAGGTTAGTTTACAACTACCAGCTCACACTCCTTCTAGGTTAGTTTACTACTACCAGCTCACAGCCCTTCAAGGTTAGTTTACTACTTCCAGCTCACACCTCTTCAAGATTAGTTAACAACTCCAGCTCACACCTCTTCAAGGTTAGTTTACAACTACCAGCTCACACCTCTTCAAGGTTAGTTTACTACTACCAGCTCACAGGCCTTCAAGGTTAGTTTACTACTACCAGCTATATTTAGAGGGATTGTCGATATTCTACTGTGAGGTAGCGGGTTATTTAAGGAACTAGTATTCTTTAAACAATTATTATTTGGCCCCGTTCTATCGCAGTTTTTCGTGACGGGTCCCCACTCCCTCTGAAAAAGCCCGTGATTGTGCTTTTACGGGTACTGTTGGGTTAGTATAAATATAGTCTCCGGAGGTTGCTCTTTATAAAAAGCGCTGCACGTTTGCTAAGAAATAACTCATCCTTATTCCTTTGGTGAACAGTATTTGTTCAATCTTTGTTATTATTTACAAAAACTAGTTTCTAAGCTGTCCTAATACGTCACAGTAAAACATAAATAACCCCTTTTCCCTTTTCTTCGTTATACAAAACCCTTTCAGTCCATTTTCTTGCATTCAGGGTTGTGTTTAGGCCAAAACTCGCTTTTTTTCTGTGCGAAATTATTTAGTAAACCATCATAATACCCAGTTTAAATTGAGTGCAGAAACCAAAACGCAAGCTTTAAATTGTCGTATTTTAAGAGTTTTGGGTCGTCTTTACAGTTTCAACTTTTTTTTGGTAACCCTGCATTTATCTCTATCAATTAATTACCAACTCTGTTTAATCCAGAATGTTACTTGAGAAATCATAATTTATTATTTTATTGCATTTATCTCAACATAATTTATTTTTTATTTTTAGCAATCCAAAAATGCCAAAGAATAAACATATAACGGAGACTCTAAGACACCCGATGAATACTCTTCGACGCAAGGTAATTATTAAATAAATTTTTACTATTCTTGTTTAATTGTCGTTGAATGTTTGTTTACTTGTTTACAATTGTTACCATTACAAACTAGTTAAATAACAATACTTTGTTTACAAATATTGAGTAGTTTGAATAGGATGATTTCTTATCAAAACTAAAACAGCAAATCCGGGATGGAAAAATATGTAAATCCGCGAAATAAAATACAGATCGAAACCAATTTAGTAGTTCTTAACCAAGCAATGAAGAAAGACTTGAAGCTATCTTGACTTTGATAAAGATCGAACTTCTAAGAGATATTTGATTTGTAAAATAAGATGCATTGGTTCAGGGTCAATATGTTGGGTCCTGGGTTATTGGTGGTAGGTCTAGTACTAGGATACCACACCAGGAATATATGGTTCAGGTCATGTCATGTAACCCGGGGTATATATTTGGAAATTTTATAGAAAATCGTTTTTTCCCCGCACGATTTATAAGAAATTATTTTTGTGTACAACAATAAACTTTTTATTTTTTGCTGAATTGGGAAAAATAAATGAGTTCGGAGGAAAGAATTGACGTTTGTTGGAAAATTACAAAATGTGGGGAAAACTTGCCAAATTTTTTTGTTCCCCCTAAATCTTTGAAGAAGATTGTGGAGGAATTTTTCAAATATATACCCTTGTATGTAATAGTTAATACTAGCGTACATGCACAGGTTTACATTATAAAAACAATATACTTGTTCATGTACGGTTCAGCTTCATGCATTGTTTTGCATGTGCATGTTTTTCCTTTCTTGCACAGTACTATACATTACGACAGTACAAACATTAAAAAAAATTTATTTAACGCTTACGCGGCTTCATATTTTTTGTAGATTATAAGAAATTATTTTAGTTTTTTATATTATTAAACCATATAAATATTAATTTTAAAAACATTTCTTAAACATTTAACTTTGTGTATGGTTGTTAGTTATAAAATACTGACAGAAAATTTTATTAATGAAAGTTATAAATGAAAGTTTTCTTTATAAAAGATTTTTAACCTCGCTGGTGATTAATATTGCTGTGTTTGAGCACACTTGTTGCAAACTGCATGTTATTTTTCAATAGAATGCAATACTATTACCACATTGATCAATGCAAGATATAAGCTGTTATTTAATATTTTGCTAAGATTTATTATTTATTAAGCAATTTATCCATCAGAGGATATGTTAAGATAGTTTGTTTGCCCAACTTGATGCTGTGTTCGACCTATCTTATTTGAACTAATTTAGAATTTATAAACATTGAAATCTTACTTTTCTTAACATTTTAAGCTTCTTCCATGTTAGAAATTTCTCAAACTGAATTTCTCGTAAATCCCACATTTTAAAGGCTTAAACTTTATACATTGAGATGCAGTTAAGCGCTATCCCAATCAAAAGGTTTTACCTCTTAAATAAAAAAAAAATAATCTAATTTGTTTTTTTTTATCCAGAGATACCAGCAGCCCCCTGGTACAGCTAACAGTGCTGTTCCACAAGTAGCTGCTCCTCCTCCTGAACGTGGTGCTCCACCTCCCTACTCTGGAGCACCTCCTGGTGGTCCTGGACATGGGTATGGAGAGGGCCGAGGGCACTATAACAGGAGTAGAGGAGGAGCTGGAGGAGCTGCTGGAGGTGGAGGGGAGAGAGGAGGTAGTGGTGGTGGACGAGGTGGAGATAGAAGGAGCTGGGCTCCAAATCAGATACAGGCAGGAAATAGGTAAGTACAACAGTTTTTTTATTCTTTAACGCTCCATTTTGTTGAGGAATCTAATCCTGGATTCATCATGTGGTGATCCCTAAGTTAAAATTTAGAAACTGAACAAACTCTTAATTACTAATCCCGAGATCAAAGAGTCAAAGTTAAAAATATGAAAGGGTGACCCGAATATTAATTTCTGTATCAAATAAATCCAAGATTTTCCTTCTTTCTGCTGATTTTGTTCTGAAACTTGACTTCTAATACTAATCTCACGGGAGAATTACAAATCTCTCATTTACTCATCATTTGAATTTTGGGTTTTTAAGATTAAAGTAGAATTTTTTTTTTGCTATTTTTTATATATCGTGGACCCGCAAGAGGCAGAATGTTGCGGATCCAGATCCTGATTCTGAGCTCTGACTTAATGAATGTTTTTAATTTTGTTAATGGTTGTAAATCAATATATTTCTATTTTAGACAGAGTAGGATAGAGATGAATCCTATCTCAAGATAATTAGATACAAGAATACAGATGCAATACAGTATACACTCATCCTTCTTCTAATACATCTTAGCACTAGGGTGTAATTTTAGAACAATTAAACCCATTGTTGACTCATCAGGAATAGAGATAGACATCGTTTTTAGTTGGTTTTTAAACATTCACAAGAATTTCAGATACTTTTATTCATTTATCATAAGTTTGAGTTTATTACATTGTGCAAAAGTTTTACTTTGATAAAAGATATTTATTAAATAGAGTTGGGGAACTCTTCTTGTATTGTGGATATCGAGATTAATGCTTAATCAATCGTTTTTGTGTCAAGTTGAAATTGTACAATGTAATAAAAGAAAACTTTAGAGATTTTTTTCTCCTAAACAATAACAAAATTTTAGATTCTTGTCGAGTCTCTGAAAAGTAAGAAAAGAAAAGAAAATACTACACAATCGCATCCTTTCTAATTTTTCTACCAATAAATTCCTACTTATACTTGAACCAAACAACTCACTCTTCCAATATAATATGTTAATCAGCGAACAAACTTTTGTCTAGTTTGATAATTAGTTAAAGAAAGCATTAATATTTTATTCCGGTCTTTCTATAATAAGGATATTTTCTGAACAGTAGCTTGTGTTACTATCAGTGCTTAGGATCCATTTCATTTTGATCCGGATCCACACTGGGAAAACTGGATCCGGATCCTGGATCCACACTGGGAAAACTGGATCCGGATCCAGATCCTTTCTTTAAGATTTACTTAATTTTTTTACAAAGCAGAATTTTCAAATTTTTGTCTTATTTTTTGTCGCTTATTTTTATGCTAAAACTTGATAAACCATTCAGAAATCACGGAATTTTTATCATCTCCTTTTTTAATAGTTCAGATTTGGGTTTTAAGAGTTGAAAAGTTTTGGTTGATATTTTGCCCCTTGGATCCTAAGCACTGGTTACTATTAATCTATGCTTGTGTTACTACTATTATACACCATGTAATACAGTGCTTATTAATTATTAAATCAAAAGACAAGATTTAACTGCCTCAAGGTATTTTTGAACAATATTAGTTGTAGATCTTATCAAATTTAAGCCTATCGTTGCCAACAATTTCTTATTCATCTTTTTAATATTAGATATTTTTCAATAACATGGCATTTATTTGAAAGTACACGGAAAGTAATTTTACAGTATTTAATCTTACCCTGTCACATGTGAGGCTCCAACCCTATTCGGTACAGTACACAGCTTTACGTGTACTTGGTGAATACTAGTATACTGTAGTTTATTTTATACACATTACACATGTATGCATTCTGTTCTAATCAATTTTTATATATAAAGTTGGATTTAGTTTACCAGAGCCTGTATTGTAGAGTGTATGGTGGGGTAGAGCGTACAATTTACACTGTACTGTTTATTATGCCTGCACAGTAAACTGTAAATCAGACATTGTTTAATTTACATTGTGCATTGTACTTTTAAGGGCAATTGCACATTGCACACTGTAAGCTTTAAATTTGTACATTGTAAACTTTAAACTTTACATTTGAACATTGTACACTGTAAAGTTTACAATTTGAAGTATACACTGTATATTGTAAACTGTTAACTTTAAAATGTAAGTGTACACAGTATTGTTTAACCTTTAATTTAAACATTGTACATTGTAAAGTTTACAATTAATGTGTACACTGTATAGTGTAAACTGTTGACTTTACAATTTAAAGTGTACACTGCATATTGTACACCCTACTCTTTGCATGTCTATTCCTGGAAGACTGATTAAAGTTCAAAATTTTCTTCTGATAAAAGAGAGCTTTAGTTAGATTTTGATCGAGAAATGATTTTAAATACATAAGTTCATGTCAGTTTTTTCTTACTTAATGTTTCTTATTTGGTATATTCAACAATCGTAAGCATTTTATCTGAAATAATCTGCTCAAAATAAGATTAAAATTTTTTAATGAATTGATAAATACAAAATAATAAGATGAAATACCAAGCTTTATGAATGTATAATGTATATTTATAAATGTAAGCTTGAATCTGGATTTCTTTAATCCTTAACTCTACTTACTAAATCCAGATTTAACATCTTACATTTTATTAAGCTGAAGTGAATTTTGATTATATCCTGTAACCATTTGAATAGATTTTACAATTATACAATTTCGAGATAAATTATTTAGTTTTCACTTTACATATATAAATTTAGGTTGAAAATATAATAACTATGCTCCGTAAAATAATATTAACGTTATGTCAATGGATTTTTGTTATTGATTGATGTAATTAATATTTTAAAATCACACTGGTAGGTTAAAGCTATATTTACTAACACATTTTATGAAAACTTAAGTTCGTCAATTTTTTTGAAATCTTGCTGCTTTTTCCTTTCAAAATGTAAAATTGTAACCTTGAATTTATTCTAATATTTTCGTAAAATTGATTTATTTGCAGAATAATGAACTCAGCTACACTGCCATTATACAGGTATTTTTAAAGACGGTACGGGGTTACCCACAAAGGATGAAACTTTTTATAACGACCTGAAACTAAATTGATAAACGTATTAGGATTCCAAGGGTCTTCGGTCTTGAAAATGGGCTTACGATGGCTTATTTGATATTTTAAAAATAGACAAATCAGTTTACAGTTGCAGAAATCTTGAATAAGCAAAGTCATCTCTGAAATCTCATCCTGTTAAGGTGCTAACGTTTTAAAAAGGAATCTCGACAGGGGCGCACAAAGGAATTAGTCCCGAGGGATATCATTTTTCTATTCTGCAGGGAAGGGGGGGGGGGGGTGAGAAAGACCCAATAGCTTCCCTACCCTTCTGGAAACGCCACTGACTGTCGACAATTTTTAATATGGCCCTCCCCTAACCTTGACCGTTCCGGAAGATATTTGTTGGAAGTGAAATGGGTTAATTGGCGTCATGGTTAATCTAAGAGTTCGGACATTTTTTAATATTGCTTTTGTACCTGATAACAATATCAAAAACTCAATATGATGCCATAAGGCAATTAGTACAATTAATACTGTTTGTAAATAATACCTTTATTCCTCAATTAAAGTTGAATGATGTTGTAGAACAATTAGTCATCAGATTTTTGTGATGAAACTAGATTTTTAGACATTTCTGTTGTGATGTTGAAATCTGTTGTTCTGGTAGTGTTGTTAGAGCCCACAAGGATTGTTTCATTCATCAAATTTAAAACAAATATACTCGAGTAGAACAATATACAGTCCTTGATAAAAAGCTGGGATTAATGGATTTATAAAATTTAACAAATTCACTTTTTTTTTCAAGAGAAATGTTATTTCTATAAGCTATAAACCTGCCCTGGGTTATGCAAGTTGTCACAAAAATATTGGGCACAATATCTTTAGCCATTTTGACGTTTATGCACTCCAACTAAACCGTCAAGAAAAAATAGAAAGATTATGTAAAATGTATACTCTGTGAGAAGATCAAATCCACCTTTGCATAATTGCAAACTTTAACATAGTTTTATAATTTTTAAAAGTTCTTACATTTTTTTAAGGTACTGTAATCTTGATTTTAAGTGACCCTCTCTCATTTGTATAGAGTAGCGTGTCTGAATCACAACAGTACCCTTTGAACTGACCAAGGGTGAGTAAGTATTTCGGATTTTTGAGAAATATATGTTCAGTTTACACTGAAACGTTCAATCAAGGTTTCGCCAATTTGATTTACACCATTCTCTGCCGTCGATGAACAGTCAAAGGTTCAAATTGTACGGTAGTACGTTGATGAACAGTCAAAGGTTCAAATGGTACGGTAGTACATCCATGAACAGTCAAAGGTTTTAATGGTTCGGTAGTACGTCGATAACAGTCTAAGGTTTAAATGGTACGGTAGGACGTCTGGCATTCCTTTTTTCATAAATATGAATAGTTCCTTGAAATAATGCCTACAGTTCCTTTAAGTGAAATCGAAACAAAGTATATGGAATTTCTACAGTGGTAGGCGATTATATTAAAAAAATGCAGACGACTTTCGATTTTATTTTTGATTTCTATCAAGCTGTTTAACAACATGGATACACATAAACATGTCAGTTAAAAAAACTTCAATTTGATTACTTGTAAACTTAATTAGAAAAAAGCTTGTTAACAATCAAAACTTAAATAAAAAAGTCTTCGACCTTGTATTGATCAAATCGCGTACCATTGTAAGTTAAAAGTATTTGTAATGTTTTTTTCACTGCACAAAGCAGAGCTGAAAACTTAAATCAGTGAATCGGGCTATCGTCATAAAACCCAGTATTACAAACCAGGTTTCGTTAAGGGGGTTTCGCAGTTTTGTAGATACCAATATTTTTGTTCCGAAAAATAATTTTATTTGGTTTCTGTATGTGCTCCATTTTTTTCTAATTTCTTACCTCAATCTACTCAGGGTTTAGACCCCAGAAAGGGAACTCGGTAGTCTTAAATTTCGGGCTCAATGTTCAACATTACTCATTGAATATGATGTTGTACAGTGATAACCATAAAACTCTGAAATAGGAGAGACGACTTTCTGGCTCTAATAATGACTTTAAATAGTCCTATGAGCCTGGGACACAGCAATTGTTGAGTGTAAACAGTCCATTTTCATGCTTTATAAGTAAATTAATAAGTTATTATTAAAATTATTTGCTTTGTAAAAACATTAAATACACTTAATTATTGCTTTCATATCGTCTTCCTATTCTACAGTAAACTAGTAATTATAAAGTTAAATCAAATGTCTAAAATGAAATTAATTGGTAGATAATACTTGCAGCCAACTCTGGATACTTTCAGGCAAGTCTCAAAAATAGTATATTTTGACAATTTGAGGACCCACCACAAAAAAAACAGTTTAATGGAATTAAGCATAATTTCAAATAATTCTCCGTACAAAAATGGTAATGCATGATTCACAATGGTACCATTGAAAACTTGATCTGATGTGGAAGATTTTAATTTTTCCAGGTTTAAAAGTTTTAAATCTTGATAATTCCTATTTGTTTTACTCAAGTAGAAATGCCCTCTTTCGCAAGTCATTTTTGTATGTGGAGAAGCTGAAATTGAAAATAATCAGTTTTCAAAATTATAAACATTGATTTCTAATTCAAACAATTGATCAAAAAAGCTTTTAAAAGAACTGGGAATCCTCATATTTGCATGGTGGGTCAGTTGAAATTAAGCTTACAAATACTGCCCCCTTTTGTCGATTTGGAGTTTTATGGACCCAATAAACCTAATAAGCATATTCATTCAGGATCAAATCATGTCATTTTTTTATCAGGGTCTTTTTTCTTTTAACAAAACGAACAATGAAGCCAAACATTTGGACAGGATAAATCTTGAGGTAAATTTGAAATAATTTCTAGTTTTATTTTGAAATAAATTTTATTTATTACAGTGATCACCTGAAAACTCTGGAATAGGAAGGACTTTTAAGCTCACAATATGGCTTTAAATAGTCCAATTAACATGACAATTGAGCAGTGCAAACAGACCCAGTTTACTAAAAAAGTGATTTAATAGTTTTCTGGTAAAGCTATTTGATTTGAAACATCAAATGCACTTCAGTAATGCGTTAAGGTCGTCTTCCAATTCTATAGTTTTCTGATTATCACTGTAGTTGGTCTGAAAATGAAGATCTTGAAACAACTTAAAGGCTATTTAAATTAGTCTTCATCTAATTTTCAGATTATTGTTATAAAGTGAGAAACAAAAACTGTGGAATAGGAAGACGATATTAAAGCAATAATTAGGTTTATTTGATGTTGTTACAAAGCAAAAAAATTGATTAGAAATTTATCATATCATTTATTAGGTGAAAAGGGTCTCATGTTCTATTCTATTCAGTAATAACTTGAGTTTAAAAGTCGTCTTCCTATTCCAGAGGTTTCTGCTTTTTTACTTGACTCCATTACAGATGAGAATTTGATTTATACTTATTTTAAATAAAGGTTCCATGGACTAGTTGTATGAGTAGTGTGGAGAGTATTATCAATAGTTTCTATGGAACAAGAATAATCCTAAACCCAGCCAACATCCAGTCCTTTATTCAAGGTAATCAACTATTATTTATATATTGTGTCCAACTACAGTGATAACCAGAAAACTCGGGAATAGGAGGTCGACTTTTAGACTCAACCTATGACTTTAAATAGTCCAATGAACATGAGACACAGTAAATCCAGTGTAAACAGATCCAATTTAATTAAAAAGTTATTAGTCAAGCTATTTTCTTCGTAACAACATCAAATGCACTTCAATATTGTTATAATGTCTTCTTCATGTTCTACAGTTTTCTTATAATCACTTTATGGGAATTCAGAGATTATGGAATAAATTATCATCATTATTGAATTACTTTGGGAGACCTCTATAGTCCATACCATCTCATCCGAGACCCTTCTGATAATATTTTAAGTATACAATATACACCACACCCCTTGACTTTTATCAGACACTCCCAAATTTTTATATTTGATTTCCTTTAGTTAATAAATTAGAGGGGTAAATATTTTCCAAATTTATTGGGGGCTGTAAGTCCAGTGTTCATTAAGGATTTTACACGCTGGGTTGTGGTTTTCATTTTAATTTGAAAACCAAAATATTTGTATTTTGAATTTGAAATTATCTAGCCGCTGACTTCCTGCTGGTTCCAAGTGTCATCAATCTTTGTAAAAATTTCCTACAGGTGAAACAATTGNCCCCCTTAGTTAACCTTGCAATTATTCAGATTGCAAATACGTGGTTTCACATATTTTCTTCTATTCTATACCTGAAAACAAATAATTAAATGGACTATTGTTGTGAACTTGGTATTCAAGATTTAAAATTCTTTTTCATAATTAAACCCTGATACCTTATTCTGATCAATTTTGTGGAAGATAACATTGATTTTCTAGGAAATGTGGATATCTCTAGTAATAACTCCATGGGTTTTGAAGCAAAAAATTGTGCATGTCAATTTTGTAGAGAAATTGGAAAGTGTTTTATTTTGTTAAGGAGTTGAGTCTTTGCTAAAAAACTCTGATTTTCTGATTTATATATCTTTGCAACTCAATTTCGAAGAAAAATGCAAGAATTTTCGCTTTTTCACTTCAATCTGTTTCGCGAAAAAATAGTGCGAAAATTTTACGAAAAAATAATGCAAAAATTTCGCGAGAAAATGGAAATTTTGCAAAAAAAAGAAGAAAAATTCAGAGTTTTTAAAAACAAATGCAAAATTTTAGCGAAAAAATTGCGGAAATTCATCAAAAAAGACTAACTTTTGAGAATACAGACTCATTTTCAAAGAGGGATTTATCCGCGAGCCCAATTGATGGATTAACACAAAATATAAATATAGATTTAAGAACTTCTAGGACACATTCTCTTTAAAATGCTTTCTCGACCTCCTCTTTATTCTTAAAACACAAAATAAAATCTACTACGGGAAGAACCAATATAATTTGGAATATTTTAAATTCACCCTGCTTAATAACTATATCCATACTTCCAAGTTATGCTATAAAATTTTACTTTTTACACTTTTTTACTTTTTGTTGTTATACTTGATTATGGTTATGACATAATAAAATTTCAAATATTGAACTATCAGAGCTCAAGTTCTTTTGAGCAATTAATTGTTGCAGCTATAAAACTCATGGTTTTAACAAGTTTTTCGCATTTTCGCAAAAGTTTTGTGTTTCGCATTTTTGAGAATTTTTTCGTGAAATTTTGCTACGTTTTCGCTTTATTTTGCAAAACAGTTCGCTAAACGCGACTGAAAATTTTAGCATTTTTTTGCGAAACGTTTCATTAGCTGGAAACCCTAATTCTGCTGGATCAAATAATCCAAGTTTTAAATATCAAAGGTTTGCTAACATATTTTAGAAAATTTGAGTCAATGTCGTAGAACTTACATATTTCAAGCTATGAAATATCAAAGGTCAAAGCCATTAGGCTGCAGAAATATAGAGATTAGAAAATTTGTGTTTTTGGCAAAGACTCATTTCTTTTCTCATTTATTTCTGACAATGCACAATGTAGAGAACTCACAAATGAAAATAATCAGCTCTAAAAAAAAAATGAATAAATTAATACTTGATCAGACAAAGCTCGTAAGGGTACTATTATGAATCAACATTCTTCAATCTCAATGGAGGATCACCTAAAATTATGCTTACAGTCACTTTAATGTTTGTTTTTTTAACAAACTATTTAGGATTATATATGCAGAAGTACTGTGGTCAAAACAATGGAGCTTTCCAGGATGTACAGGTAAAACCAAGGAATATAATAGGAACTTAAGGATATTAGTGTGTACTGTAGTTTCTGGTAGGAATGTAAACAATACTTAGCTTGGGTAGCACTAATTTGGCCTAAACAAAAAACTTTCAAAAACTGCTGTGAAAGCTTAATTTTATGGGAGTTCCTACATATTTTACTTGTTTTACTCATAGAATATTTGAAGCCTACATAAAAAAAATTTCAAAAGTTTTGAATTGCTCTGAATATATTCCATATCTTGATGACATTTCAGTTTGGTTGAAGTTGAAAAAGCCTGCATGTTTTACATTCTTAATAATTTCAGGTAAAATTAAAATATGAATTAATGAGTATTTCATTTTATTATTATGTCTTATAATATTTTTTTATTTAATCAGTACTAAGGAGTTATTCCATTCTTGTACAAATCTGGATTCTGGATCTGTCTTTTTTGATCAGAGTTCAGATCTAGACTAGAAGCACACCCTGCAATTTATCAATTAATTATAGAATTAATTAATCATTCAATCCAGTGCTTAGGATCCGTTTAATTTTCATGCGGACCTGGATCCAGATTCTGGACCCGCCCTGAAAAATATAAATGGATCCAAATCTAGGTCATAAACAAAGCAGAATTGTCAAATTATTTTTCTTCTTTTTTCGCTTATTTTTATGCTAAAACTTAAAGAACTATTCAGAATCAGGGAATTTTTATAATCTATCTGTTTTCATCAGTTCAGATTTTGGTTATGAGATTTAAAAAGTTTTGTTTAGCAGTTTTTGGTTAATATTTTGCCCCTAGGATTCGGATCCGTGGATCCGCATATTTTTGTGGAACTAGATCTGGATCTTAAGCACTGATTCAATCCATCAATAAATCAACCTTGTAGAATTTAATTTAGTATGTTTCAACTTTTCATTGGGAGGGGGGGGGGTGGAGGGAGATGGGTAATTTTATTCATTTTATATTTCTGTTCTGAATATTATGTTGAATATAACTGATATGATGGTAAAGTGATGTATGTGAGGAGGAGGATTTTACTGAAATCCCTGGATCTGTTCTCATAAACCTTCTTGAGGACACTAGGCTTAGTGCAACCAATGAGATCTTTGTTCTCAATGCTGCGCTCAGGTACATCAGTAGATTTGATCATTTTTTTTAAGAACTGAGTTTTTCACACAAACTCATTTTCGATCATAATATCTTTACAATTTGATGGTGTAACCTTTCATGTTTAAAAGTTTGATTATTTGATCTAACAGGATTCATAGTTAAAAATATAAAAGGTCTACAACATTGGGGTTTAAAGATATAGGGATTGGAAAATTAGAACTTGTGGCAAGGACTCAGTTTCTCTGTGAGTCGAATTGGGTTTTCTCTTTTAATCAAAACAGTTTTTAATTTTGTATGGATTGAAAATAGTTTTTATCTTTCAATCCATACAAGTTTGATTTTTGGATGGATGGAAATCAGTTTTTATCTTTTAAGCCATACAAGTTTGATTTTTGGATGGATGGAAACTAGTTTTTATCTTTCAAGTCATACAAGTTTAATTTTTACATGGATTTAAGCAAGTTTTTATCTTATGAGTCATACAAGTTTGATTTTTAGATGGATAAAGCTAGTTTTATCTTTCAAGCCTTACAAGCTTGATTTTTAGATGGATTTTTATCTTCCAAGTCAAACAAGTATGATTGTCAGATGAATTGAAGCTAGTTTTCATTTTATAAGTCATATTAGTTTGATTTTTAGATGGTTTTGAAGCAATTTTATCTTTTTCAAGCCATACAAGTTTGATTTCTGGATTAATGGAAACTAGTTTTTATCTCACAAGTCATACAAGTTTGATTTTTGTATGGATTGAAGCTAGCTTTTATCTTATGAGTTAAAAAGTTTGATTTTTGTATGGATTGAAGCTAGCTTTTATCTTATGAGTTAAAAAGTTTGATTTTTGTATGGATTGAAGCTAGTTTTTATCTTACAAGTCATTCAAGTTTGATTTTTGTATGGATTGAAGCTAGGTTTTACCTTATGAGTCTTACAAGTTTGATTTTTGTATGGATTGAAGCTAGGTTTTATCTTGCGAGTCATTCAAGTTTGATTTTGTATGGATTGAAGCGAGGTTTTACCTTATGAGTTAAAAAGTTTGATTTTTGTATGGATTGAAGCTAGTTTTTATCTTACAAGTCATTCAAGTTTGATTTTTGTATGGATTGAAGGTAGTTTTTCTCTTACGAGTCTTACAAGTTCGATTTTTAGCACGGATTGAAGCTAGTTTTTATCTTACGAGTCATTTAAGTTCGATTTTTAGCATTTTTAGACTGAAGCTAGGTTTTATTTTTATTTTTAGGTGGATTGAAGCATGTAAAGATCCTGCTGTCCAATTTCTTAAAGTTATCAGGTAAAGTTTTTATCAAGAAAAACTATGACAAGCTATAAATGAACAAATATTGTTTAATGTATGTATAGTAAAAAGATCTAATTACCTTTTCAAAGAAGATGCACAGAACATTTTTATCTACTTATGTAATTTCTCTCTAAAAATACAATATTTCTCAGAACAAGACTTTAGACCCCCCCCCTCCAAACTAAGCTCTAGAATTCTGCATTATTAAAATTGATGAACTTATCTTCTCAGCAAGGTAAGATTCCTGCTATTGGACGAGACAGAGTATATAACTGTGTGTGATAGATGTCTGGAGTTTGCCAACAAATATAATATTATTCCTGAACTCCATTTATTTTTTAGGTAAAATTAATGTCAAGGGTAAATTTTCTTGAAAGTATATTTCCCCAACCTTTTAAAAAGTAATATCATCCCAATTTGCTTGGATTTTTTTTCATCCAAAGTTTCAGCTACCCTAAAATCCTTTCAGGGGGGGGGGGTAATTCTTGAAAAATATAAATACCCCTTATTGGTTTTCAGAAAAATTATAGCAACCACATAATAGCAATTTGGAACATAAATCTTGTATTCATTTGGATCCTTTGCTTGTAAAGCATAATCCTATATTTATATTTATTGTAAACTCAGGAACTTGTTTTGACTGAGTCATCGCATTTTTTTTCTTTGTGCTGGTGTCTGGTACTGCCAGATATGCTTATTAATTATGTGTTGTTTTGATGTCAAGTATACAAAATCTGTTGTGGGTGGTAGGGGGGGGATAATTTTGATGTATTACACCAGGGCAAAAAAAAGAAAAATTTTACTTAAAATGGAAAAATTTTCCACTCTCTATGATACCTTTTTATATAAATATATACTCTAAATTCTTTTGTTCAGGGAAATATCTGAACTGGTGTGGTATAAATCAGGATATGAAAGTCCTAGGGCTGAGTTTCTTAATCCATACTTTTCTATACCCAGGTTAGGATAATTTATACACTAGGGACCTCAGATTAAAAGTTATGTTTGGATATTGTTAATTTTAAACGCTTGATCTTGTTGTCCAATGTTGAATATGGACATTTTTAAAATTCATCTCTAAAGGGGATGGTGGAGTTGGCACATTTGATGTAGGGGGGGGGGGCCCTGCCTTCATTTTTGGTTCAAATCTTCCAATTTTTTGGATGCACGCCTAATTAGGGTTCGAAATTCCTATAATAAAATCAAATTGAACTTTAATGACCTCTAATTACCTCAACAAATAGAAAATATTTCAATTATGGCTTAATGCATTAAAACGAAAGCTAGGAACCCAGGGAATACAGTAGCAGCAACAGATCCAGTGTTTGACCTTCTAATGACCTCTTACGACCTCTAATGACCCAAATGACCTCCAAAAATGAAAATGTTGTAACCATGGCTTTATGCATATCAAACGAAAGCTAGGAACCCCAGGAATACAGTTGCAGCAACGAATCCAGTGTTTGACGTTCTACTGACCTCTAACGACCTCTAATGACCTAAATGACCTCCAAAAATGAAAATGTTTTAACTATGGCTTTATGCATATCAAACGAAAGCTAGGAATACAGAGAATCCAGTAGCAGCAACAAATCCAGTGTTTGACCTTCTAATGATCTCTAATGACCTCTAATGACCTTTAATGACCTCTAATGACCTCCACAAATAGAATATATTTCAACCATGGCTTTTATGCATATCAAATGAAAGCTATGAAGACAGGGAATACAGTAGCAGCAATAAATCCAGTGTCTGACCATCTTATGACCTCTAACGACCTCTAATGACCTAAATGACCTCAAAAAATGCAATTGTTTTTACTATGGCTTTATGCATATCAAACGAAAGCTATGAAGCCAGGGAATACAGTTATAGCATCAATGAATCCAGTGTTTGACCATCTAAGCCATTGTGAAAATTTTTTCATTTTTGGAAGTCATTTAGGTCATTCGAGGTTGTTAGAGGTCATTAGAAGGTCAAACACTAGATCTGTTGCTGCTACTGGATTCCCTGGGTTCATAGCTTTCGTTTGATATGCATAAAGCCATAATTGAAACATTTTCTATTTGTAGAGGTCATTAGAGGTCATTAGAGGTCATTAGAGGTCATTAAAGTTCAATTTGAATTTATTATAGGAATTTCGAACCCTAATTAGGCGTGCAGCCAAAAAATTGGAAGATTTGAACCAAAAATGAAGGCAGGGCCCCCCCCCCCCCTACATGAAATGTGCCAACTCCACCATCCCCTTTAAGGCTTATAGGTCTAAAAACCGAGACTAAAATTGACACTAACCATTTCAAAAACCATAAAGTCACAAGAAAAAAAAATAGAATTTTTTCAAAACACATCGAAATTGGTATCAAAAGATGCGTCTGGAGCCGGTGAATACTGTCCCGTTGTTTTTGTTTCAATATTTTTGACTTGTTGGATATATGACAGAAAAACTTTTTTCTTTGTTATCGGTTTTTGCCTCTACTTTGTTAAATTATCAACGGATTTCTCTGATTTCTGAATTTATGAATTCAGTTTTTCAAGACGGATCTTTTGGTACCCATATCGAGGAATTTTGAAGAAATTGTTTTTTCGCTTGCATTAGTGAAGTATTCAAACTTAAATATCAGAAAAACTGGTTTCCGGTTGGCAATTTCAACTTGCCCAAAAATCGGCTTTACTAAATGTAGTTTTAATATCCAAAACCAATCCTATGCACATGGAGAGGAGATCAATGGCCAAAATCGAACACCGTTTTTTGATGGGGGGGGGGGGATACTGGAGGCGTACTGGTTATACAGAGAATGAGGGCGGCCCTTGATGTCGCACATTTTTTTGTTTTCACTGTAAAATCGTATGCCCACAGAACAAACGCGTTTTTAACATTTTTAAGCAATTTTTGGGTATTATTTCAATGTTTTTGTCATTTCTAAGTGAGTTTTGATAGTGTGAATAAAATAAGCCACTTTTTGGAAAGCTGATGTCCTTACCTTTTTTTGATGAAATGTAGATTTTATAGGAAATTTTTTTTTGCAAGAAAATAATTTTGCTTGTTCTCAACAAAATAGGAAAACAATAGTTAGATTTGTCTCTCCTTGTTGACTCTTCTTAAAAGGCCCACCCCCCAAAAAAATATTTTTTTTTAAACCGTCACGTGATGCCAAAAACTGAAACTGGGAATACTGGGGAGCACTGGGTGGTATGGGGACGACTGTGTGGTACTAAGGGGTAATAGGGGATGCCATGGGGCACTGGTGGGTTATGGGGGGTACTGGCTGGTAGGGTGGTTAATGGTGACTATTCTCCGTATATAATATATTGATGAATGTTAAACAATTGCAATACTGCCATTTATCTGAAATGATCATAGATTTTTTATCTAGATATGTGACGAAGATAAGAGACAATCGATCAAAATTCCGCCTTACAATCCACCAAATCGAGCTAACCCAAAATTGTATCCTTATCCTTATAACGCGGAATTTCCGGATTATCCAAGAAAACAGGGTTTCCAGGCACTTAGTACTAATGAAGGTGCTACTCCTAATCTGACGACTCGACCCCCTACTCCAGGATATCCTACTCATCCACCTACTCTGGAACATCCTAGTAAACTGTGCAGTACGGTATTTCCTCCTGAAGCCCATACTCCTGTATATCCTTATAATCTGCTTGCTAAGGAAGACTGGCCTCAAGGATATCCTACGTATCAGCATACTCTGGTAAATCCTCATCAACAACCTCCTACTCAAGTTTATCATCCAGAACCAACTACTCCGTTATATCAAAGTCAACCACCTACTCAAGTTTATCATCCTCAACCAGCTACTCCGTTATATCAAAGTCAACCACCTACTCAAGTTTATCATCCTCAACCAACTACTCCGTTCTATCAAACTCAACCACCTACTCAAGTTTATCATCCTCAACCAACTACTCTGTTATATCAAACTCAACCACCTACTCAAGTTTATCATCCTCAAACAACTACTTGGGTAGATTCTACAAATCCGCATAATATAATATATCCTCCTAATACCTATGATCCAGCTAGTTGGTTTAATCAAAACATGGAATCACATCTGACACCACCAGGTCAAACAGCAGAACAGCAAGTACAAACTCCAACATCGGTAATTCCAGGACAAACATCAAAATTACCAGGTCAAAAACAACATATCAACATCAAAATTGGAGGAGGATTCTGTTCTTTATGCCATAGATATATCAAGACTAAACTGTGGAGGCATTGCAAAGATCAGCACAAAGATCATCAAATGATAAAGGTATGTAGATTATTATTCTTTAACCACCAACTTCTCATTTCGATAAAAACGCCATTTTGGTAGATAAAAAATACATGAATTTCATGTAATAAATTTAAATTGGAACTCAATACGTGTGAGATTTTTAAGTCCTTTGTTAGCTTATGTTTGTAATTTCAGGATCTTAAAATTCTCCAAGAAAAGGACATAAAATCGTTTCACAAGAGATTTAGAACCTTGGTGGAGTTAATGAAGGCAGAGGAACATACTCAAGAGGTTGATGGCATCGATGACAAGAAGATCGAATGTAACTGCGGAGTTTCCCTATTACGAAGCAGTCTGCGTGCCCATTTGAAGAAAAGATGTGTGCTGGCTCGAAACCTATCAGAAGATGGAATTTCTTTAAGGTAAAAGATAGATTTTTATGTTTCATTTTAACTGTTAAAACCTAAGCTTTATGTTTTTTGATATAATAATGAATTTTAAAAATTCATGCTTTAAATCATACAGCTTTACAATACACGATTAAAAACATTTCTCTCCCTCCTGAAGTCGTTTCCTTTTTAAAATTTTGTTCCCAACTTTGACATTTTTAAAACTAACTCTGATGCGGTCTTCTGGGTTTTATAATGCTCTTTTAGGATCTGTTATTCTAAAGGTCTTGTGTATTTCTTGACTTAAGATCAGTTTTGATTATCCTTATTAAACCTTGGTTATTTCTGAATCCTTATGAAGATTTCATTGTGGTTTAACCTATTAAGCTCAAGGTGTATGTTCAAGCTTAACTCCAGATACAATGGTTAGCATAATAAATCTCCATGTGTATGTTCAAGCTTAACTCCAGATACAATGGTTAGCATAATAAATCTCCATGTGTATGTTCAAGCTTAACTCCAGATACAATGGTTAGCATAATAAATCTCCATTAGAGCTTTATTGTTACTCTTCTGATAAGGCAGATTTACTGCATGTATGAATGAATAATATAAAAGATGGGTCCTTTCTTTAAATAAGCAGGGTGGCCAAAATGTACGAATTGTACGGTTTTTTTTGTAACCCTTAAATTGTACGGATTGGACGGATTTTTTTCAAATTGTACTAATTGTACGTATTTTTATCCGGGAAATACAGCTTTTTTATGTTGACTCATTAAAACAAATTTTTAATGAAAATTAAAAAAGAATCTCGTCAAAATGAAGTTACAGATTGTTGTCTGAAAATGTACGGATTTTTTTAGTGATTTTTAAAAAAAGTTGTCGCCACTCTGAATAAGTCATTCAGAATTAACATTAACAATCTAATTTTTCTAGGATACGGGATATTGTTGATACAATCAACATAGATGAATTGGAATCATCAAAGGAGTTCAAACAAATGGTTTATGGAATGAAACAAGATGCGATCTTTACAGAGGGTAAGTAGCGGTACAGAAAGATAATAGGTCGATTAAGAAGATGAAAAAAATTCAAGTTCATTTAACTTTTGCCCAAGAATTGGCACAAAAGCAGATTTGGTTGGATTTAAAAAAAAGTCTTAATGCAAACTATAAAGCTCCTGTAGCTATGCTCAAAAAAAACTCCCAACATTGTTTCACAGGTACAAAACAATGTTGGCAATAATGAGTTAAAATTGAATTTAGATAATCGTTGTATGATTGACTTGGTACAAACCACTGTGACTAAACTTAACTTGGTTCAGTAAGTAATAATTTTATGTTCTAGGGATTAAAGATAAAGCACTTGTGAACTATTTTACCACTTTAATCAAAAACAAACCAGAAGATTACGTCAACAACGCGCGAGAACGATTTAGGTAATCATTAAATATTATAAGATATTATTATTGCTAATCTCTTATTTCACAGTTTAAAATTCAGATTATCCAATTTTCTTGAACATGGGCATGGTTTTGAGTAATCCTTTTTCATTATGAAGAATATCTGTTGAAATTTTTTATTTGATCCGAAAGAGCTGTTAAAGCCGGACATTTGAGCTATTTTGAATTATATATACCAGTGTAAAAAGGGTTTACAGATTATTATGGCTGGGCATATTCAGATTCTTTTTAAATCGTTCAGTTTCGTTCTAGAACGAGGGTCTTCAGCTCGATCCTTTCATACTCATTAGTTCTTTTTCCACGTTCTGTTCCGTTCTTGGTGTTCTTAGTTGAGAAAGGTGCCATCCCTGTTCTGTTTGTATGTTCAAATATTTTTCGTACATTTAATTTTCTTCCTTTCCACAAGAAAATATAGGGTCATATGAGGGAGGGTGCTTTGGTTTCGGATTCTTAAGAGGCAATATTTGTAAAGCACTTTTCATTTTTTTTTTTTTTTTAAGATCATTTTTAAATTTATTTTCATATTTGTTTTCATATTTGTCAAAAACTCCAAAACCTACAAAGCAGTTTAATTAATATAGAATGAATTGTTAGGGTTAAAGTGACGGCAGACATAATTTTAATTGTGATTCACAACAATACCCTTCAAAGCTCTGTCTGATCAAGTATTGCATCAAATATCCATGTTTTCCATTTCTTGATAATTCCGTTTGTTATCGCAGTTCTTCTAGAACTTTGTGGTAGGAAACTCTGTAGATGTAAACTAAAGATTGATGATCATTATTTTTAATAAAATAACATTTTAGGAATGTAGCCAGACTGAAGTTGGCTCTAAATATCCAATTAAAGAAGAAACTTGGCTGTGTGGAGCTGTTAACCCCAAAAAACTACAAGAAAATTTCCCAATTGTGTAATGGAACTTTGTCTACGACGCTCTTTGACGCTCAAAAATCTTGGAAGTAAGCAAATAAAAAATAGAGTAATTGAATACTGTTTAGTACCCTTAAAAAAAGTCCTCAAAGGTCTAAAACATCTTCAATCTCCTCCCCCCCCCCACATTAATTTTATTTTGATGTGAATATACAGCCCATGGATATAATAGTAGAATGGATAGATCATAAGGTTTTATGTCATTTTTTAGATAAAGTGTTATGTAGTACGTTAGACTTAGGACCCTGGATTTACAATATGTCTTTGGTTTTCTTTAAGTTAATTGATGTCAAAAGAGTATAAAAAAAAAACATTGTAAGTCTTTCAAACGTGATAAGATTTAGCCTCCTTCTTTGTATCATCAAATTTGTTGGAGATACTAAAGATTTAAACAATGCTTAAATTTAATATTTTTAATTTAAAACAAACTTCTCAATATCTTGGTCAAAAGGTACAAAAACGGCAGACCACATTTTGGAATTTTCGAAACAATGCGCCTTTGATGCTACCAACTATTTGAAGGATATGCTATGTTCACAAGATTTTTGCTACAGTGTCTCATTTCTGCTTATTCCAGGGCCCACTCTCTACCAAAGTTCTCTAATTTGAACGATGAACTTCACTTTAAACTTTTTTTAAAGTACAAATTATTTTATTGAATGGTCAACAGCCAGAATGAAAATTTGTTACAGTAAAACCCCTGAACTTTACTATATGCAGAGGTATTAGAAATTTCCTAAAAAAAATCTAGGGTCCACTCAGATATAACAGCTGCATAGCCCACTGACAAAGCTACATGTACACTAGCCCAGAATAGTATAGATAGAAGCATAAGTGGGCCGTGGTACTTTTTCGTTGGAGACAGTTAATTAAAAATTTAATTTTTAGGGTTAACTCTCAGGCCCTTTCCAACATGATCCATGCGGTAGAGAAATTTGTGGACGTAAATGAACCTGATCCCGTCAAGAGGTTGGAGGTTTCTGAGTTCAAGAAATATTTTCAACTGTATTGGCACGAGGTGAGTTGTTTTAAATGACTTTAAATGCCCCTTAAAAAATTCCAAGATGTGCAGCATATATTTTAGGATTCATAATGGTAAAAGTATCTCAAATACCAAATTTTATCATTCTATTTTTGTTCTAAATTGCCCATCCATTGAACTATTTTTCGTGTTATTTTTGCCGTTTTTTTGTCTTCAAATTTTTGTCTACATTTTGACAACTCTGCAAATTTTATTTTGAGTTCTTAGTGTGATACCTTCAGATTGAAACATTGTAAGAAAGGAGCTGAGAAAATGTGTTAAAAAACTCAATTTTTTACCTATTTGCGAATGTTTGACTATTAGAAAACATTAAATTCAACAAAGACTCAATGTCTTTACAACAAACTCTGATTTTCTAGTTTTTGTATTCTTCCAACCAAATGTCGTAGACCTTAAATATTTCAAACTATGAATTATGTTAGCTCAACTTATCTAAGTTTGAAATATAAAATGTGTACAACATCAGTTCGGTAAGATATTGGAATTCGAAAATTGAAGTTTGTGGCAAAAACTCAATTCCTTTCCTTCAAATATCATCAAAACAAAGTTAAATGATATCCGAAATGGTATCATACTTTAAAATACAAAAAAAAAACTAACTGAGTTATAATATAAATGATTAAAAAAGGTCAAAATTGCCGGAAAAAAAATGTAAAATTGGTGGGCCATGTAGGAAAATTATTTTGAAATGCAAAAACTTTGTAGTTAACTTACTTTTACCCTAATGGTTCCTTAAAACGTTTGAGGGCACCATTACTGCAGCCCCCCCCCCATGGAAATTATTAAAAAGTTAAGCCAAAAGAAAGGGGGGGGGGGCATGAAACGTATTACTCTCCGGTAACAGTGTTTAAATATAACTAAGCATTTTTGCATGAAAACTTAAAATTATGTATACTACAAGCATTTTGGGTTATGAAAGGATCTGAGCATAAGTTTGCGTGCGAGCTTTAAGTGAATAATTACAACTTGTTCTACATTAAAGTAATTATTTATTAATTTCACTTGAACATTAACACTCTTGAAACATATATCCCCTCATAAAATTATTTTCCCAAGCCTTAAATGTCCTTGCGCGCGCGCTATAAAATAAAAGATCTTTGAATACAAGATCTAGACATATCATGGAGTATGATGGGGATTGAACCAGGGTGACTAGGTCTAGAAATATCCTGGATTGGGTTTGATCCAGGTTTTCTAGGTGTAGAAGTATCCAGGAGAAAGGTTGGGTTGGTTCCAGGAATACAAGGTTTATAAATATCCTGGAGTAGGATTGGGATAGAACCAGGTGACTAGGTCTAGTAATATTCTGCGCTTGCGCATTTTTGCTTAGATCCGTTCAAAACCAAAAAATGCATTTAATGTACATAATTGAAAGTTTGCATGCAAAAAAGCAGCCTCCTACAACAATGCTAAGTTATATTTAAACACAGTTAAAATTTCCAAGCGAATAATATGTTACGTGCCACCCACCCTTTATCTTTACCCGTGTCCATTATTACATTTTTTAGACTATAATTTTCTTAATATACTTTTGCTTTTGCGTCATTGCTTGAAATAGATTACTGAAATCTCAATTATTAATCCTAGAGTTAATTAATTTATACTTCTCTTATAATAGGACGTGAAAGCAAAGCCCATTTTGGACAGGAAAATTCGAGCGATATCAATGGGAACTGGTTTACCAAAACGTTCTTTGGTAAGAATATTTTTACATTTCATCTCCAAATATAGAAATCATTCAGCGTCTGCTTGCGTTAGGGATGTTAACGTTTTCTTTTTTTAAAAAAAAAACGATCGTTTCGTTATAGAAAAGGCGACGAAAAATCAAAAACGAAACGATCGTTTATTTAAAAATGGTCGTTTTTAAAACGATCGTTTTGAAAAATGATCGTTTTTGAAAACTATCGTTTTTATAAAACTCGTCGTTTCGTTAACGATTGTTAACGAATACCCTTCCTTAAAGATCGTTAGCGACGACCCTTCGTTAACGAAGAGAGGAAACCGACCTTAAGGGCATCCGTGCTTATCAGTGAGTAGTTTTAAGAAAATATCAAGAAGTTCTAGATCCCCCACAACTCTTTCACTTCATGGAAGACATGTAAGAATTTTTTTTCACAAAACGATCGTTTTTAAAAAACGACCGTTTTCATAAAGTTCGTTGTTTTTTAATGGAGTATTTTGTAAGAATCTGTAAATTGCAAAAATTGTGAGAATTTAATTGTCACACTTTAATTTTAACTTTTTCAATTAATGTTTAAGGCACTCAACATTATATGAAATGAGGTATAGGCTGAATCATTAATAAATTACTTAAATCTAATATCGCAGTACTGAATTTAATTTTATCATCAACTGAAAATGCAGAATCAACTGGACAACTACGCTATTTGCTGTAAACGTATTAAATCAAGTTCTCAGTATAGTGACAAACCTAAGAAATACTTAAGAATTGCAGCGATCGATATCTATTTCAATTCTGATTCAGCCAAACCCCCTTCAATATGACTTTTACAGTCCCTTTAAGTACTTAAATTTTCTTTTTTAGATCAATGACCTCTATGGTAGGGATCTGGCCTCAGAAATACTTGCAAAACGAATAAACATATACTGACATAAATTAGTTACTATTCCGCGAGAAATCTTGCGTCTGCGCAGTCGGACTGTAAACAGTTCCTAAACTAGTTCTTTCACAATACATTCCGTACAGATCTTCAGGGGGAACTCAGAAATACACAGGGGTGACAAGCAGACTTTCTACACGCAGCATGGCTCGCGTAACAATTACAGTATGCATCAATGAGACATGATTGGATGCCAGATCAACCTAAACATGACCCTTTAAGCTAAGAAGATTTTCATGTGTGTTAAGTCTAGTGCTATTCATTGAATTATTAAAGATTCATCATGTTAAACACGATAAATGAAAAATTCGATTTTGATATACGCATAAAATTATGAAAGAAAGAAAAAAAATTATTACATTGTAAAACTTTGGTCCATAATTTCACATGAAATTATAACTACCATGAAGTAAATTTTGTTTAGGTTGGTATCAATGAAGTAACAGCAATAACAGCAACTGTTACAGAGGTCTTGAATTCTAATGAAGAAGATGCAGAAGAAGACATGGAGGAGGACGCGTATATAGAAGAAGATGTTACGATGATAGAAGATGATGTTGAGTTTAAGGATGTTGAGCTAACAGAAGAAGATGTTGAGGTAGAGGAACCAGTTCTAGACTTAGACGAGAAGGAGGATCCAGAACCAGAATCCAGAAAGGTAATTGTAAACTGTATTTGTTTTTTATATATATATTGTTGTATATTTTTAATTATCTGTTTACAATTTTGTCAGTACCCTTCTCTTCTCTAACCTGAACCATATTTTTCTCTAACTTTAACCACACTCTTCTCTACGTGAACCCTTTCATTTTTTAATTAACTTAAATTCTACAAATTTTAGATATTGCAGATCTAAATCTACAAATTATAGATTAAAGGCAGCATTTTTCAAATAAAATTCTACACATTATAAGAAAGTGGTACATGAAAAATATTTTTTATGACGTTCATAAGTTTTTCAGAAAAGTTGGACTTAAATATAAAAAATAATTAAAGATAAAGGGGATGGTGGAGATGGCACATATGATGTAAGGGGGTTGGGCGTGCCTGCCTTCATTTTTGGTCCAAATCTTCTAATTTTTTTACTACACGCCTAATTAGTGATCGAAATTCCTAAAATAAAATAAAATTTCATTTTAATGACCTCTAATGACCTCCACAGATAGAAAATATTTTAACTATGGCTTTATGCATATCAATCCAGGGAATACAGTAGCAGCAAGAAATCCAGTGTTTGACCTTCTCATGACCTCTTACGACCTCTAATGACCTGAATGACCTCCAAAAATGAAAATGTTTTAACTATGGCTTTATGCATGTCAATTAAAAGCTAGGAACCCCAGGAATACAGTAACATCAACAAATCCAGTGTTTGACCTTCTAATGACCTATAACTACCTCTAATTACCTAAAAATGACCGCTAAATTAAAATTGTTTTAACTATGGCTTTATGCATATTTCCTTCTAATGACCTCTAACGACCTCTAATGCCATAAAATAACTGCTAAAATAAAAATGTTTCAACTATGGCTTTATGCATATCAAACGAAAGCTAGGAACCCAGGAAATACCGTAGCAGCAATGAATCCAGTGTTTGCCCATCTAATGATCTTAAATGACCTCCAAAAATAAAAATGTTTTAACTAAGGCTTTAAGCATATCAAAAGGAAGTTAGGACCCAAGGAATATAGTAGCAGCAACGTATCCAGTGTTTGACTTTCTAACAACCTTTAAAGACTCCCAAATTGAAAATGTTTTTACCATAGTATGTATTTCAAACAAAAGCAAGGAACTAAAGAATACAGTGGCAGCAACAAATCTAGTGTTTGAACTTCTAATGACCTACAATGACCTATATTAACCTCCATGAAAATATTTAAATATGGCTTTAGGCATGTCAAACAAACATTAATAACCCCCAAAGAATCAAGTGGCAGCAACAATTCAAATGTTTGACTTTCTAATGACATCGGAAGACCTGTAATGACCTCCAAATTGAAAATGTTTTTATTAGGATTTATGTAAATATAACTGAAGTGTAGAGGAAACTGTTTATGTAACAACAACTTTTATTATATGATGCTTTTATGGGGCGCCATGACAAACTCCTGAAAGACAAACTCCTGACGAGACAAACTCCTGAAAATAAAAACTTCTGAAATAAAAACTCTATAATATAAAATTTTAAAAAATGAAAATCTAAATTATATTCTATTCTAATTATACAATTAGGTAATTTCCTAGAGAACGATTTTTGGACCCCCCCCCTCTTATCAGTTTTGTACATGGATCTTAAATGTTAGACATGGATATAATTGACCATGTGGCCGCAGCGCTCGGCCCCCTAACCTGTCCTAGCCGCAGCGCTCGGCGCAGAAAGTGTCTTAACTAACCTAACCCATAGTCGCAGCGCTCGGCCCCCTAGCCTGTCCTAGCCGCAGCGCTCGGCCCAGAAAGTGTCTTAACCTAACCTAACCCTAATGATAAAAAATATGTAATAATAAATTTGCTTGTTATTCTGATCATTGTAATACTTTGCTGCTTGAAGCATATTCAAATTTGAGAATTTTTTCTAGGATATTTGCGGGTTTTTTCTCCTAAAGTTTATGAATTTTATCATATTTCATTCAGAGAAAAATTTCATAATTTCAGGAGTTTGTCTTTCATGAGTTTGTATTTTCAGGAGTTTGTCTTGTCAGGAGTTTGTCTTTCAGGAGTTTGTCTTTCCGGATTTTGTCTTGTTAGGGGTTTGTCTTTCAGGAGTTTGTCATGGCAGTTTGTCATGGCACCCTTTTATGGATTATTTTGAAAGATTCTGTAAAATGTAAATTACAAAAATTGTGAGAAAATAATTGTCACACTTTAATTTTAACTTTTTAAATTAATATTAGGCACTCAACATTATATGAAATGAGGTATAGGCTGAATCAGAAATAAATTACTTAAATCTAATATCGCAGTACTGAATTTAATTGTATCATCAAGTGAAAATACAGAATCAATTGGACAACTACGCTATTTGCTGTAAACGTATTACATCAAGTTCTCAGTATAGTGACATACCTAAGAAAGACTTTAGAATGGCAGAGATCGATATCTATTTCAATTCTGATACAGCTAAACCCCCTTCAATATGACGTAGCCCAGGGGAGGAAGGCCAGCAACAACAATTTCTAGTCCGAGCTATATTCTCCTAATTTTTTCGTCCGAGCCACCTCGAAATCCTCGTCTTTCCAATATCCTTTTTTTAAGTGTCTAATCCTCTAATATAAACAATTTTTTTTAAGAATAAAATATTGAATTTTTGTAAATCGAAATAAAATAGTTTTAAGTGAATTAAAGTTTTCGAGCCAATGTCCTTAGACATTTTCACCTTTTTACAAGCATTTTCAAAAATTCCTGGTGTAGAATGCCGCAAATAATTCCGTGTTTCTAAAACTCTAATCTTTTTTGTTAATTATATAAGTTAATGTGGCTCGTATGAGAAATTGTTGTGGCTGGCCTTCCTCCCCTCTGTAGACAGTCCTTTAATTATGTTTTCTTGCAGGAGAGCTTGAAAGGCTACATGTACCAGTTCGTAACAGTTAATAGCGGTTCTCTACAGAATGTACCAAAACCTAATTTTTAATTTGATTTGGCATATTGAACAATGTTACTATTATATGATCATGACTGTGATTAATTTTATGTAATACTTGAAAAAATTCTTTAAGAGTTGAGCAAGTGTGAAAATTTCCAGTGAAAATAAAATAATGTTTAAATTTAATGATTTAGAATACCAGTTGATATGACAGACAAAGATAGATATTTGAATTAGAGGAGAGAGGAGAACCAGGTTCAGGGTTAGGAGTTAGAGGAGAGAGGAGAAACACGTTCAGGAATAGGAGTTAGATGAGAGAGGAGAACCAGTTTCAGGGATAATACTAGAAGTTAGAGTAATGTGGAGAACCAGGATCAGGGTTAGGAGAGAGGCGAACCAGGTTCAGGGTTAGGAGTTAGAGGAGAGATGAGAACTAGGTTCAGGGTTAAGAGTTAGAACAGAGAGAAGAACCAGGTTCAGGGTTAGGAGTTAGAGGAGAGCCAGGTTAGGAGTTCGAGGATAGAGACAAATCAGGTTCAGGGTTAGGACTGGAAGTTAGAGTAATGTGGAGAACCAGGATCAGGGTTAGGAGTTAGAGGATAGAGGAGAACCAGGTTCAGGGATAGGACTAGAAGTTAGCGGAATGAGGAGAACCAGGATCAGGGTTAGGAGTTAGAGGAGAGAGGCGAACCAGGTTCAGGGTTAGAAGTTAGAGGAGAGAGGAGAACTAGGTTTAGGGTTAAAAGTTAGAGCAGAGAGGAGAACCAGGTTCTGTGTTAGGAGTTAGTTGAAAGAGGAGAACCAAAACTGCCGATTCTGAGTTGGACTTACAACTTTACAGGTTAACAATATGTATCTCAGTAGAAAATCTGGTAAGAAACGAAATATAGAATTGCTCTAGGAGCAAATGCATAAAAGCAAACTTGTAGAGGGAGGTAATATCTACTCGCACAAAAAAATTGGACATCCAAGTTGACCGGCAGCCGAGTTATCTTCATCTAAGACACATTTCTAAGCCCCACTTCTAAGTCTTATATCTCTGGAAGTAAAAGAGATTTTCAAGATATTTCAAAACTCACACGTAGGTACTGAGATTGAATATCGATGCGTAAAGCCACTACAAGCTGACCTGCATAACAAAAAAATGAGATTGCTTTGCGTAAAACGTTTTTTTTAAATATTTAAATGCCTATATCTCTGAAAATAAAAGAGATATTCAAGAAATATTTTAGGATAATGTTTATATTTATAGTAGTGAGCTTTAACCAAAATTTCAGCCAAATCAAAAAAATTTTACAAAAAAATCTCAAAAACACCAAAGGCAAATATTTTGCCTTCTATACTTTTTCGGGGTCAAAATTAGATTTGGCTAGATTTTGGGTTATTGCTTTATTATATATTAGGGATCTCAGATCCAAATATTTGGTCAATAGGTTGACCGGTCACTGATTTATAGCTAGTTGAAATCGCGTTTTTTGTTTTTTATTCGGCGGCCGATTTTTCGGCTACCGATCGTCCAATGGCAAGCCCTTAAAATCCTCTACAACTTTTGTTTTCATGGCTCCAACTTCAGATCACTCTAAACTACTCAAAAATGGTGGACTCCAAAGGCTTAGAATTGTGTTTTAGATGAAGATAACGCGGCTGCCGGTCAATTTAGAGGTCCAATTTTTTGTGCGCGTATATATTACCTCTCTCTACATTTTTGCTTTTATGCGTTTTGCTCCTAGAGCAATTCTATATTTCGTTTCTAACCAGATTTTGTACTGAGATACATATTGTTAACTTGTAAAGTTTGAAGTCCAACTCAGAATCGGCGGTTTTGGTCATTTTGTTCCAAAATCGTCATTTTTGACGTTTTTTCACATTTTCTTTTAGAATATTAATCAGCTGGAGTTGAGAAATCTAAATCAGGTTTCGGTTTTGCAATACCTCAAAAACTCATCGAGTTACAGCCTCCGACCTCAAAAACTGGCGGTGGCTCTGAAGGCCGTATTTTTAGAGATAGAGGTCCATTATTTTTTTCGCCTATATAATTTAGACTTTGGCTATAATTTTGTATTGGTGTGACTCTTGAAAAAACGGCGGACAATAACTCGACTCCCGGTCAACCTACAGGTCCAATTTTTTTTGTGTAAGTAGGTATTACCTCCCTCTAAAACTTTGTTTTTCTTCACTTCTCTCTCAGAGCACTTAAAATATAAGTTAGGTTAGAACCTAAACTTTACTCATCTCTAACCTGAAACCCACTCATCTCTACTATAAACCATATTTATCTCTAACCTGAACTTTACTCATCTCTGATCTGGACCCTAGTCATCTCTAACCTGAACCCTACTCATCTCTAACCTGAACCCTACTCATCTCTAACATAAGCCATATTCTAATAAAATACTAACCCTGAGAAATGACAAACTGTGGGCCCAAGAAATCTTTCATTATTTTGACATTCTTGGTAAGTTTCCTAATAATGATTAATCAGCTTAATGTTATTTAGACTTTCATGACCTTAACTGCCCTTTCCTTTTCCTACACCAAAGGGACTGTAAGCGTAATTTCAAGTGACCCTCCATGCAAAGATTGCAATGAACGATTTACCAAGCGTAACAGTTAANGAAGATACTGACGATATTTAGTTTGAATATATTATCTGATAAATAATGTGGAAGATACTGACGATATTTAGTTTGAATATATTATCTGATAAATAATGTGGAAGATACTGACGATATTTAGTTTGAATATATTATCTGATAAATAATGTGGAAGATACTGACGATATTTAGTTTGAATATATTATCTGATAAATAATGTGGAAGATACTGACGATATTTAGTTTGAATATATTATCTGATAAATAATGTGGAAGATACTGACGATATTTAGTTTGAATATATTATCTGATAAATAATGTGGAAGATACTGACGATATTTAGTTTGAATATATTATCTGATAAATAATGTGGAAGATACTGACGATATTTAGTTTGAATATATTATCTGATAAATAATGTGGAAGATACTGACGATATTTAGTATGAAAATATTTAATATTAAAATCGTTAAATTGAAATCTTGTTTTTATCTTAACTTTTCTTGTTAAAGAGCTATTGAAAAAACAAAAAAAAAATGTTTTGAATTTATAATATGTAACCCTAAAATATTAGATTTTCCTAAAATCAAAACTATAGGAGCATCCGAGTCACAAAGTCGTAACAGGAATGTCATTTGAATTTGACCTACTCCTCCTGGTTTATTTGACCTCCACCTCCTGGTTTATTTGACCTACTCCTCCTGGTTTATTTGACCTACTCCTCCTGGTTTATTTGACCTCCTCCTCCTGGTTTATTTTCAGTGTTATGTTTTCCTGCAGTAGACATGAGCAAGTTACTTTTGTAGAGACAAATCATTAGTTGTAAACATTAATAACTAATTAATACTTAAGCAAACAAAGCTTTTTGGTTCAGCCGTTTAGACAATTAACCCTATAAAGGCTGGAGGGTCTGAATCTATGTATAGCCTGGGGGGGCTCCCACGCCCCCACCCCCCCCCTAGAAAAAAGGCCTTAGAGCATAGGTATAGGGTTGAAATGCATATTCAATTCATAGCATACAATGGGCCACAGTAGATAGGTAGTTAAACTATTCAAATATAGTTCAACCACTTCTCGCTATTCATCAATATGATGTACGATTTTTAAATTAAAATTGCCTTTATAGTTTATAGTTTAGAAAATTATTCAATACTTTTATATATTTTCCATTTATACTTTTCTGTGAAAAACTGTAGAGAGGAAGACGACATTTATTTAACCTTGTGCCCATTTCTTACATATTGAAAGAACAAGACTTGAAATTCAAATTATGAAAGGGATAGGGCTGTAAAATGTGTATTGTGTAATCAATGTACAGTAGGTGCGCTTAATCTTCATTTGACTAACTAATCAAATTGATAACTTAAGTCTAGAAGTCGACTTACTCCTTCCAGTATAATAGGGTTGACTGTAGAAGGTGAAGGTAGATTGATTGATACTGGTAGACCAGGAAGTGTTGAAACTCTTACTGATCACCAACATTGTAGTGCACATTTCTCCTGGACGGTAAGCACATTGTTCCAGGACAGTAAGCACATTTTTCCCGGACGGTTAGAAAATTTGTCATGGATGGAAAGCACATCTTTCCTTGCACATTTTTTCTTGAGGGTAAGCACACATTTTTTGTGGGAGAAGCATATCTTTCCTGGATGACAGTAAAATTTTCCCGGACGGTCAGCACATTTGTCCTGTGCTGTATAGCAAATTTTCGTGGACGGTAAGAGCATTTTTCCTAAACGGCATTCACATTTTTCTGCACATATGGCACATTGTTCATAGATGGTTAGCACATTCTTCCTAAAGGGTAAGCACATTTTTCTGGCCGTTCTGTACATGGGTCGAAATTGAATTGAATTAAACGTACTACATAACTATAGATAAGAGAAAAAAAGTGTTGCAGACGCAAAGTTCCATAAGACAGAGTATTGTGGATACAGGGGAACAGAAATATATAACAGCTAAGGAACCTTATGTCTTTGTCCCTGGTGCCGGGCTTTTAACCAGGTAGATTTTTAATTTTATTAAACATTTTTAACAAATTTTTCCAAAGGAACTGAAATTTAGCCACAAATTCTGATTTTCAAATCGCTATATCTTTGCAACCTGATGATGTTAACATTTGAAATTTCGAACTATTATTATTTGATCTAATATAATTCATAGCTTGAGATATCTAAGGTCTCTGGCATTGAAATACAAAGATATAGGGATATGAAAATCAGAGTTTGTGACAAAAACTCAATTCCTTCGGAAAACCCTATTATGTCATTGAGATAGTGAAAATTTTGATAATGAAATAAATCTTTTCAAATCTGGAAATCCATAGATCCATATTTTGTCAAAAAACAATCAACAAAATTTTGATAATTTAATAAATCTTTCAAGTCTGGAAAATCATGGATCAATATTGTCTAAAATTTGATTGAAAATATCCAAGCTTAGATAAAGTAAAAAAAAAATTGAATAAATAATTATTGAAATATTGTATTTTAACAATCCGTTAAATCAAATTTTTTTAGGAGGAAAGAATATTTTTTCAACAGCCTGGATGAAAAAATCAAAGAAATCGCGGAATTTGGAATTTTGGCCAAACTAAAAGTTTTGAGTGTTCCTGACCCAGTTGATTATAAACCTGCTGATGTTCTTCTACCCCTGCAGTTGGAACATTTTCTTATCTGTTTTATATTCCTAGCAGCAGGGAGAGATGAGCATCGTTTTTTTTCTCAACAAACGAGAGTTTTTAAAGCGAATTAAATTGTTCGTGAATTATGGTGTAGCTCTGAAAAATTAATGAACGATGAACGAATAATTTGGAATGTTAAAAGAAAATGAAAACGAACAAAAATAACAAAAACGAACGATTAAAAATCAATAACGCTTGGTTTTTTTTTTATTAATGAACGAATAATTTTATTGAATGAACGATTTTACTGAACAAACGATTTCACTAAACGAACGATTTAATTGAAAGATGGTTCAGATGGAAAATGAATGAAAATTTTTAGCGACTAAAAATACAAACTATCCCATCTCTAACTGCAGGGATACTTTTAGCCTTTATATCCTTCATTTGGGAGATATTCAGCATCTACATAGCAACATTTTAATGTTTTTATTCACCCCTGTAGATATTGAGACATTTCATGATATCTACTACGTATTTTGTTCAGCTAGTTGTAAAAGAATAAAATAAAGATGTTTATGAAATTGTGTTTATTGCCTGATACGATGTATAAACGTTCATCTGAAAATGAAGAAAAGGTATACTTTTGTTTGATTTTAATCTTTCTGACAGAAACAATCTCAAGAACTGACGACAAGGGTCAACCCAGACCGAAATATATTTTCAATAAAATATGGAACTAACATCTACCTTTTTTACCCTACCGAATATTAAATATATTTATTATTACATTGATTATTCATGAAAAAGTATATCATGATATTTATTATTTATAAAAGAGTACATTTATCATTACATTGAGTACATTCAAGAAAAAGTATATCATTATATTGATTATTCGTTAAAAAGTATATTATGATAAAACAAAAAGGAAAAAGTTTGCGGATTTTCTGAAAAAATACGTGGATTTTCAAAATTAAATGGAAATCAAATTTTGTTGGAGGCAAAGTTTTGAAATTTTGATCATCCATAAACCTTCCCTCGGGTCAAACAGACAAACATGCAAGCAAAGTTTATATAGACACAAAGGATAAATAATATTGACAAAAGTTGGTTCTATGCTGTTCTATTTTCAGAAAGTACAGATGTTTGCAAACTTTTGAGGAAAGTAGAAATACGTTGATTATATATTATATTATAAAAAATAAACACGCTAACTTTTTGAAAAAAAAAACATCTGTAGAAGAAACTGTGTTTAGTGTTTCCTAAGTATTTGTCAACAACGGACTATTGACAGAACTTCAAATCGTTAAAAGACGAGAGGTCATTGACTCTGGGTGGCCCAATTTTAAGACGTCTTTGACCTCCCAATTCCAAGTCTGAACCTTTGTGTATTACTTGCATTAAACCCTGAAAGCAATGGCGTCTGAGATTCTCTGTTCGCCTAAGTGACAATATTTTTATAAGTTTTATTTGAAAAAATTGTAAGCTTTGGTTGGCTTGTATTTACTTTATAGACAGTGCTGCAGCTCAAGAAATGACTCGTATCGTAAAATAATCAATTTAATTTCAAACAAATCATTCAGATATTACAACCTAAAGTCATCGATTATATTTCGCGCATTCGTATATAGTTAATCTTTCATAATATTTCTTATTTCTTATTTGTATACAATGTATTTGTAATCAATGATGGTAATTTTGATTATAAATAATATAACCCCCAGGGAAGATTTATACAGAGTTCAGTGGCTATTTTACAGAAATCTTTTTTCTTGCAATGCCCCCTCTATTTCTAAGTATGGTTTTGATTTTTAAAAAAAAAACTACCAGGAATATTTTCATAATTAATATTTTTTTTTAGATTCGAGAATGAAACCAAATGTATTGCGTCTCAGCAAAGTTTTATTTATGGTAAATGAATTTGTCCTTTATCCAATAAAATTTTTACATTTTAACATTTTTTAATTTTTACATTACAGACCCTTTACATTTTTACATTTTTACACCCAAATCAAATTATCAAATTATCCTCTTATGCGAAGTAGAGGAAACTATTTAAAGTGTTATTTTTACCATTGGTTTATCTGACCTAATTTATTAGATCTTAATCTATTAAAGCTCAGTGTCTCAGATTTAAGTTACACACTCCACGTTAAACTAGAGGTCTTGTTTTTTTTTGTTGGAATATAATGTTTATTTTTATGAAAATGTATTTTAGCTTTTTTGACGGAATTTGAATGAGAGGTAAAACATCCGAAAATATTCCGATACAGACAATATTAATGTTGAATATCCGAAAATATTCCGATACAGACAAGATTAATGTTGAATATCTGAACATATTCCGATACAGACAAGATTAATGTTGAATATCTGAAATTATTCCGATACAGACAAGATTAATGTTGAAAATCTGAAAATATTCCGATACAGACAAGATTAATGTTGAATATCTGAAAATATTCCGATACAAGATTAATGTTGAATATCTGAAACGTTTGACAACTGGTGAAAACTAAGACTGTAAATAATCCAGGTTCTGTTTATATGTTTAATCATCTACTCCATCCAAGAATTAGGTATATATATATTAACAATTTTTAAAAATGGAAAATCTATACAACATGTACAATGTACATAGCTCTCGACTGCAAAACATGTAAACTATGGACCGTACAGTATTATTTAGATTGGAAAATCAGTACAACATGTACAATATGCATAGTTCTCGCCTGCAAAACATGTACACTACGGAATGTACAGTTTTTTAATTGGAAAATTAGTACGTACATGTACAATGTACATAGTTCTTGTTTGAAAAAAATATACACAGTAAGCACTGTACAATATAAAAACAAAATACAACTAGTACAATGTAAGTACTAAATTGTTCTGTCTGCAAGACCCTTACACAATTAATAGTTCTGCCTACAAGACATTTACACAATAGTTCTTTCTGTCTGCAAGACATTTACACAATAATTGTGTCTGCAAGACATTTATACAATAGTTCTGTCTGATAGACAGAACACAGAACTTAAAAGAACTGTACAGACTGTACAGTTTTTTTCAAAAAGATATAAAAAAATAGATAATTTGTTTCTTTTGTGGTATAAAAACTACTTTTTTAAAAGTATATTTGTTGATTTACGACGTAATTACCTATTTTTTACGGTTAATGATTAAAATGAATATAATGAGGAAAACAGGTATCAACCTAAAAGATATTTTTTAGAATACTTAGAAACTTTCAAAATTATTCAACCTGCAGAAGCAGAATATCCGAATTCTTTCTGCAACTGCAAACCTAGGTAATTCTATTTTCGCGAGTGCACAGTGATAACCATAAAACTCTGGAATAGAAAGACGAAGTATACGCAAGTTATGAATTTAAATAGTCCATTAAGAACATGAGACACAGCAGTTGTGCAGTGTAAACAGAAACAGTTTATTTCATAAAGAACCAGATAAGTTACTATTTGCTTTCAAACACCATAAAATACACTTAAATATTGCTTTATGCTTATATGTCGTCTTCCTTTTCCACAGTTTTTTTTTTATTTTCACTGTAAAGTTTTGAATTCATGGATTGAATAATGTCTGTAAGAACCCTTTTTTTCAAAACAAAAAATGGAAAACAATTTTTATAAGTTTTGAAAAATCATTTTGGTTAATTTCTTTGGTCCACTGTGTTCCTTACGCGCAAACAAGTTTAACTTGTTCCTGGTTCTCTGCATGAGGGTGATTGGAAACAAGTTTCCATCAAATCATATCGAGGTTTTTATAAAACATACTTTGTACTGCTGGAGACGCCTTTTACATGCTTTATGTTCATATTTTCATATTTTTATTCAACTACAAAGCACGAAAAAATACAAATAACAAATCACAAAAACAGTTATTTTTTTACTTAAAAACTTTTTTTCTTTAATAATTATTTCATTAATTTTATTGTGCAGACCTTTCTACATGTATTACCTTGTTCACTATAAATTAGCATGGGTCTCCTTCCAAAACTAAGGTCTGTATATTTTAAGAACGTCTAGTTACCTATTTTACTCTTTATTTGTGTTTGAGAATCACCACACTCACAAAAATTTGCAACAAATGGGCTTCAAGGACCAAACAAGGAGGGTAGAATACCATTTTAAATTACTAGAGGATGATAGACCCATGATAAACCCCATCATGGATCAGAAAGAGGTTTCTACCAAAACATATCTCCTTGTCCTGGTGAGATATCGATGTTTGTAAGACACACCCTGTATAATGTAAATGCAAGAGTATGATATAACGGATAAAGTTTTAAGAGCAAATATTGTAGATGAAGATAGAAGAATTAAGGAAAAGGTATGGAGTATGAAGATAGAACACATAAAGAAAAACTAAAGAAGGCTTATAATATGAATTATTGGGAAAAATGGAAGGTGTAGATAGTAAAGGAAAAAGGATTAGGATTTAGAATGAAGATGGACGAAAGAGGTAAAATAGATAATGGATAAGGATTAAAATTTAGATGGCAAAGTAAAGGATGGGGATTAAAGGATTGGGATAAAGATGGAAAGATAAGATAAGATAAGATGGACAAGTCAAATATAAGTTTTTTAACTATACATTTTCCCCATTTAAGCCAAATTGTCATAGTTTATTCCAAAATATTCAGAGTGTAACTCTTGGAACCATCCATATCTCACTAGAGCTTTGAACTTCAGAATGGTGGATATCGAGATCAATGCTTGATCCTCTCTTTTTCTTAATCTCGAGATTAACCTAATCTCGTACTTGTATCCTGAAAAATATATATCAAAGTCGCGTATCAGAAGCCGGGAAATTTTAAATTTTCCGCGCCATTTAAGATTAATATCCAGAAATGGGAGGGACTCTCTAATTTTGAAAATTGGTTTTCGATTTGTCTGTACTATGTGTGGATTAAGCAAGAAATTAAAAGTTTCCACATTGGATATTAGGATTAAGCAGTCGGGATTAAAGGTATCCCTATCTAAAGTTCCCAGCTCAGGACAAGCAGATATTATTTGATAAAAACATTTTCATGATGGCGTTTATGGAAACAATGCTATCCTCCTTAAAAATTCAAATTCCATTTGGTGCAAGCTTTCGCGGTTTGCAGGTTTCTCAAAACATAAATAAAGAGTAAAATAGGTAGCTAAACGTTCTTGAATGTACATGTTTAAGTTTTTAAAGAACACTCATGAAAAATTATTTTGAACAAGGTAATATCTGTAGAAAGGTCTGCGAAAAGAAATTAATGAACATAAAAATGTTACTAAGCATGTAAAAGGCGTCTCCAGAGTTGTACAGGATGTGTCTTTAAAAACCTCATTATCACACCAGGACGGAGTGATATGATTTGATGGAAACTTGTTTCCAATCACCCTCATGCATGAAAACCAGGAACACGTTGAATTTGCTCGGCGATACCAAGTTAATTTTGAAAAGGGGTTCACATATTAGATTCTTGTGGATCCTTCTTAAGTCTAGAAACTTTAAATATTTAAAAACTGGCCTCAAAACGATGCCCGTCAGTATGCATCATGGTTGAATTCAAAAAAAAAGTTTTTTAAAAAATGGACATTTTCAATCTTTAAAAAATACAAACCAGTCTGAATTGAAAAAAAGATTTTACAAATTCTGGGGCCAGATTTAATGAATTTAATCCAGGTCTGGAGACAGTTCCAAAAAAGAATCTTGAATCGATGATTCAGGATTTTTACTTGTCCTATAAATGTAAACTCTGCGGCGTTAGTTTAGCCGCAGCGAGGTGCAGGATTACCCACAAAAAATAAGACCGTAAAGACGACCTGAAACTCTTCAAATATTTTAATTCCAGGATTCAATCTTTAATTAAAGTTGTTTCATGGCTTATTTATTTATTTGATAAAGATAGAAACAAGTTAACAGTTGCAGGGAACCACGAATATTAGAAAACAAAAAGTATAAATGTCTTAAAGTTGTCTCTAAAGGCTCATTCTTTGTGGGTAGCCCTGCAGTTTAGCGACCTAGCTCAAATTCATTAAATTGGTCTCCAAACGTTGGTTTTTAATCATCTTTGTGTTCTAAAAATCTTTTAAAAAATCATTTTACTATAATTCTAGGATTGCACGCTATATAGAGAATATTAACGAAGCCATATTACCTGAATATATTGATTTCTCTAAGGAAAACAGGACCAACATCTCAACATACAGTGATACCTATTAAACTGTGGAATTGGATGATGACCATAGATACAAGTTATGATTTAACGAACGTTAAACCTAGTCCATTTCACTTCAAAGCCAATTATTTAGATGTCGTCTTTCGTTTAAACAGTTTGAACACTATAAAGGCTGGGGGTCTGAATCTAGCATAGACGTGGGACCGGAGGCGTCGACACGCCCCCTCCTAGAAAAAGCCTTAGAGAATAGGTATAGGGTTGAAATGCATGTGCATAGCCCAAATTTTCAAGGCCAGCTCATTGAAAAAAATTAGATAACTCTTATAGTTTCCGGGTTGACAAAATGCTAAAAAAATGTTAAAATATTTTTTCCTTAAAAGCAAATATCAAAGTGTGACACATGTTTTTACGTCCATTTTTCAAGGGCTTTTCAACAAATAGTTTTTAGATCTATAGCTTTAGTCATAAAAAAGTTAATGGCTATTTTAGATTTTTTTTTAAACAACCCGAACTTTTTACCGCCCTGTACCCTACCCTATCTATAAATAAAAATGTTTACAAAAAAAATCCTTTAAATTTCTATAAATTAAAAGTAAAAAATTTTCACGGCAACAATGTCAAAATGAGAGTGCTAGGGGAAAAGCTAAAGGGGATAAGGCGCCANTCTTTCTTTATATATGGCATCAGTAAGAAAGGGGGTGGGGAAGGCTCTATTAATGAAATTATTAATTTTTCAATTAACTAGCGTTAGCAAAAGTTAAGTTTCCGCAAGACACCAATATATGAAGCGTTGTCATCAATATCTCGTCTGCATGTACTTTTAAGGATGCTTAATCCGTAAAAGATTAACAAAAGATCAAGTTAAGTAAAATTTAACCATTCAAAAGTTACAACCTCTTGTATATTGTAAACAAGTCTGTTAGTTAGTTCCTGGATTGATTAGGTGAAGAAGGGGGACTATGTTGGTAAATCTACATGTAATAATTATACATCTGGTAAGTTTTAGCTTTGCAACTAATACAATATGGCGCAAAGCTACTATTCAATAAATTTTATCATTGTACTGTTGGTTTCAATTTCAATAAAATTTAAAAATTGAAACTTTTAATCATTAAAGTTGAGTTCCGGCCGGTATTTGATCTTTTATCAATTCGTCAGAACTACATGCATGATATATAATCAAAATTCATCCATTCCAGCAATTTCTGAAATATGGACCTCATTTCAGTTTTTAATCAAAGTATATCTTAAAGTATAGTCTCTCAACTGTCCTGCTTCGCAGGACACCCTTTTAAAGTTCTTTAAACAGATATATATATAAATATATTAGCTTGGGAACCCAGCGCTGCCCAGGTTACTAAAAGTTACCTCCGCCATTTAACCGCACTTGAATTATTTTACCGTGAAACTAATTTTTCGCTTTTAAAAAGTCGACCCACTTAACCGTCTATGTCCGAACTTAATATTTTTCAAAATATTTTTTTGAAATTTTCAATTTATTTTAGAAATATTCCCTGAGGGCCAGAAATATTTTTATTTTTTTTTAATACAATGCATAGTTTTAGAGATAGTGACAGCGGTCGATATCGACGGCTTCGTCAACACGGGATTTTAAAATGGCCAAAATCGACCGCTCCGGAACAAAGCAAAGTTTGTAGATTTTACTATTAAAAGTAAATATATCTTTAGTTAAACATTGAACACAGCTTGTTTGTAGTTTGTAGTTCAAATATCTTGACACACGGAAGCCTAAAAGAGGGGGGGCAATTACCCCCCACCCCCCATTCCCCCTTTTATAACATTACTTATCCCCACTCCACCTTCATAACATTACTCAGCAATTAGCCCTGGTTAAGTGAAATCTTGGGGGGTTTCAGACCCCAAAGGGTTCTGAGCCCCATCCCCCCTGAAAAAAAGTGTTAAGTCCCCTCTGTACAAAATCCTGTATACGCCCCTGTTATCTTCTAGAACTAGTTTTCATAAAATTTATACTAAGTATTATATATACCGTTCTGAAATTATTCATTTTCTCCCGTACATTCACATAAATCATGTTTCCTTCCCATCCCGTCCCTCCCTTCCCATCCCTCCCTTCCCATCCCTCCCTTCCCATCCCATCACTGCCTTCCCATTCCTCCCTTCCCATTCCCTTCCTTCCAATCCCACCCTTCCTATTCAATCCATCTCTCCCATCCCTCCCATACCATCCCACCCATCCCTTCCCATCCCTATCTTCTTATCCCGCATTATCAATGAAAATCTAAAGAACAATGCAGTTTATATTATTCTGAAGCCGTCTATTTTGCCTTTCTGTTATGTCCCCCACATGCCCGAAGCCGTCGATAACGACCGCTCAAAAAAGCTGCCAAAATTATACTAAAACAATAATTTAAACCATTAAAATGTGAATTATATAAAAAGTAATAACTTTAGACATATTTTTATAAACAAAAATCACGAAAATGTTAACTTTGTAAAAAAGTGGAGGGGGTCTCACATTTTTGTTTAATTTTTGCGTATCCTCTCAATGCCTATCAAGATCTTCACTGAATAAAAACAAAAACAAGCAAAAATATGCTTGAACTTGGTTTCTGAGTTCTCAAATTACGCAAAACTTTAAATAAGCAAATTAATTTGTAAACCGATAAGGGGGTAATGGGTGACTAAAGTGAGCCGTCGATATCGACCGCTTCGTACATAGACGGTTAATACAAATCTTAAAACCAAGCTCCCCAATTAAAAATTGATGCATATTGGTCCTAATACATAAAGTTGTAATTTCTGTCTGGGTGTCTGACTGTTTGTTTGTCCAATCAAAACTGGAACCCATCGACCGATTTTCCTGGAATTTGGATTGGGGAACTCGAGAGACCCACAGGAATGTGCTCAGCTTGGTTTTAAGATTCTAAGTTGAGTAGGTCGACTTTAATAGCGAATATTTAGTTTCCGGGTAAAATAGTTTAAGTATGTGTAAACGGCGGGAGTAACAATTTTAGAAACTTTTTCAGCGCTTGGTTCCCAAGTTAGTATATAGATATAAATAAAAATATATTTTGATCAGCACTTGGAGCTGGGCAGAATGTGTTATCCTACTCGTTATATAATCCTCCCAGGGCTTTAACAGGAGAAATACTGTAAGTTTATTTTTTATAAAACAAGATTAAAAACTTCCTAAAAAGGAAACCCTGCATTAAACATCTGGGGTCATTTATTCTAAATCTATTAATCTTTTCGAAATTGTTTTTTTTTTGGTGAAATATTAAGATCGACATAGATGTAGTCTGCTAAAATAGACTTTACATTTTACCAGAAACCAGGAAACTATGTATAGTAGGAAGACGTCATTTAAACAATACGTTTAAGCGTAATTGATGATGTTATAGCAACAAGTTCACCAAATAAATCAGTTACTAAATGAAATGGGGCTGTTTACACTGCACAATTGCTTCGTCTCAAGTTCATTGGGCTATTCAAGGTCATAACTTGAGTTCAAAATTCGTCTTCCTATTCCAAAGTTGTCTGATTCTGACTGTAAGACAATATAATTGTCGATCCATCCCTTTAACAAACATTAAGTTAGGGATTTAAAAAGAATGCCCATTAACCCTTATCTGATCAATATATGGAAGAAATCGTCGTTTTTCAAGCTTTAAAAGAGATTTATTCCGACAATTTCCTCCATCGTCTCTGAAACAAAAATGCGCAAGATGATGGTAAGATTTTAGGGTACCGTTGGGAATCAGATATGGTACTTTATAAACAAAGTAACGTATTTAGTTCCGTTGATCAGCTATCTGACAAGGGTCAAAAATGCAATGTCGAGTTAAATATTATACCGGCAGTCGTTTATTATGTACAGTGAAACCCTTAATAACGAATACATCAGAAGAATTTATCAAATGTCGTCTTGACAATTTTTCAATGAGTTTTATACTACAGGGTGTCCCACGAAACATGACAATGGCAAGACGACTTGAAAGTCGTCTTTGATATTTGAATTTATTTTTGACATTAAGTCTTCTATCTACTTTAACATGTATGATTCTTGAAACAATTATCACATAATTCTCCTAGCCCTGGCATTTCCAAAAAGTGGTCTGCTTTTTTTGTAATTTCAATATTACCGGAGATATAAAGAGTTTGGTTCAGATTTCAATTTTGTTAAATAAAAGCAAAATTGTCGCAATCTGAACGAAATTTTTCATATCTCGGGCAATATTGAAAGCACAAAAAATGCAGACCACATTTTGGAAATGGCAGGACTAGGGGAATTTTTTGATTATTATCTCTAGAAATTTACTTCTAAAATTAGGTTGAAAAATAAGTGCAGCAAATTTTATCAAAAATCAAGACGATATTCAAGTCGTCTTCATACTGTCATGTTTTGTGGGACACCCTGTATATTACGTAAATTTTAGTTTTAGCGAAAATAAAAAAATAGTCATGAATGTGCGGAAACAGTTTTAAAGAGTTCCATGTAATCATTTAATTAAAAAACTAAATATCTGCAACATTCCATTATCAGAAAGTGAAGAATACGACATTTGATGAATTCTTTCGATGCATTCGTTATTAAGGGTTTCACTGTATTAATCTCCAAAAATGTTTAATGTTGCAATATGTCATTAATCTGGGTTTTCTGAAAAGCAGGAAATGAAAGCTGCATGGTTTTAAAGGGCTGAGCTAAACATTATATTTTTAAAAGATGTAATTAAAAGGACTGTCCGAGTATTTTCAAGTTACCTTTTATTTACAGCAGCATCCTTGAAAGCTTTATCTGATCGAATTAGGTTTGCATTTTTATTTAACCCTATCTCTGCTGGGGTACTTGAAAACCAGGATGTGCTGGGGGGGTCAATTTGCCCCCCCCCCCCTCTAAATCCCATGTTTGATGTCCAAATATTACAAATGATACATCATTGGAAAGCTCTTGTGCTCTTCTTTTAGAATCTGCAAAAAAATTGCAAATTTGCAAAAATTGAATTTTTTATTGCAAAATCCAGTTATAAAGTAAAAATGAGTGCAAAAAGAAATTTGTCCAAAAAATGAAAAATTATACATTTTTAAAAAGCCCTTGACCATGCCATTTCAAATATGCAAAAATTTTTGCAAAATTTTAAATAACCTGATTTTTAATCAAGAAAAACTAAAAATGTGCAAATTTCCTTTGACAGGTTGTTTGCAAAATATTTGCAATTTTTTTTTTGCAAAACTTGTGCAATTCGTTTCCTTATGTCAAAGGCTTTCCAAAAAGCTAAATTTATCAAAATCTGACAAGTGTAAGTGGGTCAAAACAAAGATTTAGTTTGTTACAGGAAAAAGCAGTCATTCAGGCAGTGTGCCTGAGGCAGTTAGTATTAAAGCCCGGTTTTAGGCCTAAAGGGAGGGCTTTGGGTATGTAGGAAAAGTCAGAAAATTTCAAAAGCCTCAGACCAATACTTTTTGAGTTATGTAAAAAAAACTACAGCAGGAATAGGGTTAAACTGTCAACTTATATTTGTAATTTCTTTGCCGAAGTGACATTGCTTGTGAAAAAGATGGAGAAATTCACAATAGTGAAACTGGCATTACCAACTTTACCTGAAGGATCACTTAAAATTACGCCTACAGTCCCTTTAACTTCACTAATTTAGCGAATTGGATGCCTGGGATACAAAATATATTGAGCTTATAGAGGATATAATTCCTCATGCAGAGGTAGGATATCCTTGCTCTGTACTATATCTATAGTTTTACTATTTCCCAGTTGAACTAAATATTCGTAATATATTCTAGGTATACTATAAAGTCTATTGTACTATATATTCTAGTTGTACTATACATTCTTGTGTATTTTATATATATTCTTATACATATATCCTAGTTGTACTATATATCCTAGTTGTACTGTATATTCTAGATGTACTTTATTTTTGTTGAGTTCAAAAAGGGGGGGGGGAACTGGCAGTCAATTTCCAGGACAAAAAGGAGGGTATTTATTTTCCAAGCAACAGTCCCGGTCAACTAATGTTCTCAAATTGGCGATGGTTCATAGGCTTCACACTTAACCTCGGTCTATCCCATAGACGATAATATCATAAAGACATGTATTTTAATCCTAAAAAAAATGTAATTAAGAATAATTATTCTAGGGTATGACTATAATGTCTGGAATAATTAGTTTTATTTTTTTGAAAATGAGCTTACTAGTTGAGGGTAATTTGTGATTAGCAGGCTATTGAACAGTGCTAAAGCAACGTTTTTATCTTCTGAAATAAAATGACAATTGGTTTCAAAGATTTATAAATCACGAATATTAAGGCTTTTAGCTAAGTTTGAACCGTGAGCACTGCACGTTAGGGTGTTTACTGATCTGTCGGAGGTATACAATGTTTGGTTTGGCCACCGGAGAAAATCTTGGTCAAAGAAGACCTTGCAGCCGAAGCTCAATTTTTTTGGTCAACAATTTTCTAGTTGAACTTTAAACTCTAATTAAACTATATATTCCATTGTACTATATATGCAAGGAGTACTATATATCCTAGATGTTCTATATATAGATGTACTACCCCGGATGGAGAATCCGGATTTATCACAACATTACTCGACTGGAACCTGACAGAATGGCAAGCATTTATGATAGAAACAATTATTTCAAACTTATGTATAATTATTGATTAATTGATTTAATCTCAGACGAGACAGGAACTGTGTAGATTGTATTGTACATATCATCTTATAGATCTATGTGATGTCACTAATTTACCCAGGTAACCAATTCACAGGCAATACAATTAAGTCGTGACAGGATACATGCAGCACGGCGCGGCACTCGGAACTCTTACAGAGGGATATTCACTAACTTGTATTCAACTCATTCTGAGTCCGAATTTAACGAATTTGAGCTGCGTCTCAAATGCACTAAAAACCGGTTTAAATTAAGGGCCGGCTAAAATCTTGAAACATTGAATACAATTTTTAGTGGAACCAACCATATGTGAGCCGCAGCTTAAATTTAAGTTGTGGCTCAAATTCTTTAAATTCGTCCTCTGCTCCTTTACAAAAATTTTCAACTTAGAACTATTTATTAGCTAATTATGATAGAAAATGCATTTATTATTTTCAGTGTTGGGAACCTTAATGAAAGATCTCCTGTTGGTAGACTATGGAGGTTTCAGGTATAACATGTCAATCCCTAACTTGAACAGTCTTTTAACATGATCCTGAAAGGGATTGTATTCCTAATTTCAAGGAACCCTACTGTTCCATTCTGAAAGCATCCTTTAAACCTTCCTCTGAGGAAAAATGACGAAGCTATCTTTTTGTTCTCTCTTTTTCTATTGAAGTTTTATACAGATAAACGCAGTAAAGAAACCGGGGACAGATTAAAATTCATAATTCTGAAGTCAAAACATATCTTTCCCATTTTTCGCCAATTAAAAGGCTACTGTTGTATAGTGAGCATGTAACATTTTAAATGCAAAGTCACTTAAAATTTAAAAATAAAGTTCTTTTAAAATATACAAAAACGGTTTTCACAAATCATGACATCGGAAACTCTTTAGATATTAAAGATCATTTCCTTGTGATGAGTTTTTATCAATCGAAAATAAGACTAAAAAAATCTATCCTTGGATTTAGGGTTTCCAAATTTTTGGAGAAATATTGATATGCCATTTTCAATTAATTTTAGACAAAAACTTTAGACAATTTTAAAGAAAAAAACTTTTAATCTTTTTCAGAATTCTTAATATTTTTTGAAAAAAGATTATTGAGATTTGCGGGAAATTTAAACCTAATTAAACGAATATTTTAGATAAGATTAAAAATTTTTTGTTGAAGATCTTAGATTTTTGAAGATTCATAAAAAATATGTTTCCAGCCAGCAGGAGACCCAACAGTTGATGCGTTTGCTTGCAGAGATATTGATAGTTATATGTTGGATAGGGAGGTGTTTGCAGTCAAGGTAGGAAACTATGGGAGCGGATTAATTGAATTAGAACCAAGCCGCTGAACTTCCTACTGCCGGTTCAAATTTAAACAACCCATTTAAATTTAAAGATTAAGGAAGGATTTGAAATGATGATTCAAAATTCAGTCCCAGGATTAGATTTTACATGGTTACATTCAGGTTTATGGACGTTTAAGCTTCTCCATCTTCAATTTTACATGTTCCAACAAATTTGTCCATTATTTGAGCCGTGTCTCATATTTAAGACACTACTTAAACATAGTATCAGTTCCACTTGAAATTGAATTCATTGTTTTAAGATTTAAGCCGGCGATTATTTTGGGTGTTTAGCAACGCAGGTTAACCCTTGACAGGCTGGGGGGGGGGAGGGCGTTTGGTGACCCCCTGTAGTTTTTTTGTCCTAGCACTCTCATTTTTGACACTATCAGTCACCCTAAAATTGTGTGACTTTTAATGAAAAGTAATTTAAAGGATTTTTTTGTTAAAAAAATATTTTTTTAAAATTTATATGGTAGGGTACATGGCGGAAAAAAGTCTTGTCTGTGAAAATAAAATCTAAAATAGCCCATAACTTTTTTTGTGACTAAAGCTAAAGATATAAAAAACTATATTTTTGTAAAGCCCTTGAAAAATTCACGCAGAAACATGCATCACACTTTGATATTTGTTAAAAACAAAAAAAAATATTTTTTTCAATTTTTTAGGGATTTTCTTCACCGTCCCTAGCACCCAAACTATTGAATTTATCGGTCTATTTTTTTTTCTTTGAGTTGGCCATGAAAATTTGGGCTATGAACAAGCATTTCAACCCTATACCTATTCTTTACAGCCTTTTTCTAGGGGGGGGGGGCGCCAAACGCCCCACAGGCTATCATAGATTGTAACCCCCTAGCGTGTACAGGGTTAAATTCTTTAAATTCGGTCTCTGGTAGTTGATTTTTGTGTTTCCATCCTGTCTTTTTTATATCTCATGTCCAGACATTTTCCGCAATTTGACAAAAGCAAACTTGAAAAATATCAAATTTTTTGGGGCCTTTTAACCTCAAAAAACTTTTTTGGGTTCTACGGTGTCGCGAGGAATGCTTATAACCCAACAAAGTCGATGGCAATTTCATATTCCCTACTATTTATCTCATCCTTGTTGCCTCACGTGAATAAACTTTCCAACTTTTGAACAAAATTATGACACTATTAAATCCCTGATATTTTCATCACAACCCTGTAAACAGGTTTGCAATATTAGATTGCAATCCTAGGGAGGCAATCTAATTAATTAGGAATTTTCTGCCAAGAACTTGCAGATGAATTAGATTTTATTTCTGAACTTCTTAAAACTATGTGTTACAAAACTGAATAAACTTTACGTTTTTTAAAATTAAAAATGGCTGATTTTTATGTAATTTAAATATATAAAATTTGCTTAAAAGTTAAAAAAAGTTCTTAAATGTTTAAATTAACATAAAAAATAACATATTATTTTTTTCTAGGACTGGTTGAAATCTCCACACCAATATCATATTATGAGAGATGGACCATTTCACACCATGTAATATTTTAACCATTAACATTAATTAACCGGTGTCCGAATTTAATGAATTTAAGCCGCGTCTCAAATCACCCAAAAACCGGTTTCAATTAAGCACCGGCTTAAATATTAAAAAACTGAATACAATTTAAGTACGTGGAACCAATCATATTTGAGCTACGACGGTTTGAATTTAAGCCACGGCTCAAATTCTTTAAATTCGGCCTCAGGACACATAAGACTAAGGAATACAAAGACGACTTTCAGGTTCAATTTATGATTTCAAATGTTCCAACGTAAATTTGGAAAACTTGGCAATGCCCGAATTGCAACGATACCCTTTCGAGCTTTGTCTGATCAATTTAAAATAAGATATCCATATTTTTGTCTCTAATCTGATTATTTTCATTTGTGGTTTCTCTGCAAAAGAGACTTGAGCATAAAAATTACTGGAGAAGTTATCAGGATCAAAAACTTTTCGAGTTAGAATAAGAAGGTTATCTTCCACATTTGATAGATATAGGTATCTGCAAGGGTACCGTTGTAAATCGGGCATTGCGATCTTTGCATGGAGGAGGTAACTGGAATTACGCTTGCAATTCCTTTAAGGCTCTTTTTTTTAGGGTTGGGAGTGGGATTACACCCAGAGTTTTGGAGTAAAATGTGAAAATTTATCCGACCTTTCATTAAAAGTTCATTTTAAAAGGGTACTTTAAAACCGAAAATTGCTTTGCAAATCCCTTTTTTACTGTCTTGGTTCAGATATTTGCAGGGTAGAAAATCGCAAATTTTAGTCCAATTTCCTGTGGCGATGATAAAGTTTTGATTAGCAGAACTGACGACATTTGGTTTAGCTTATACACATGAGGGAATGGAGTACATCAAAATAAGACAGTATGATCCCTGAGCCAAAAACTTAGGTCAGAGTATCGCTATGAAAACCAGTTTTGAAAACTGGGTTTTAAGAATGGGGTTTTGCAGTTTTGTGGATATCAATTTTTTTGTGATGAAATATCATTTTATTTAGTTTCTTCATGTACTACATTTTTAAATCTCTTTAATCAAAATCTACACAAATGATAAGACCCCAAAAAGGAAACTTGGGAGTTTCGTGCAACGATACTCTTTTAAATTGTGGGCTCTGGACAAATCCATTAAAATTTCTTTTTTTATAAAGTTTATGCTGAAATGATCTCGATCGGAGATGCATGGCAGGTTGTCATAGAATTCATATAGAGAAAAGTAATTCCACTCTTTACTTATCTTTTCTCTTTGACTTTGATTGATGTATAGGTTCGGTATGTTGGCCGGTATGTGGGGCGGCCGGAACTACCAGAATATGACGCTAGCTCTGGAAGTACGCAAAGCGTACATGAGAGTTCAACCTTCAGAAGCTAAGAGTTCAGATCAGGTAGAAATAGCTAATCCCTTTTTCCTTTTTTATTTTGAGTAAAACATTTACGTTGTAAGGTTTGACAAATTAAAGCAAAACAACCTTGTTCCTGGGACCCTCCATTGATAGAGTAATAATATGTCCGATTCAGAATAGTACCCGTAGCATTTCTCAGAACTAAAATAAATAAGATATTTATTTTTTTTCCTTTGTGGTTTCTTTGCAAAAGTGCCTTGCACATTTGATGGTTTAGAAACAATAGAGAAATTATTAGAATAAGACACTCTTCCAGGCAGAACACCGTCGACATTTTCTTTTACACATAATTGATCAGATGAAGGGTAGTAGGGTACCGTTGTGAATTAGGTTTGCCGCCCCTTTCAATGTTTTTTTTTCTGTTTTATTATCAATATTCTGATCATCCTAGGATGTTTTGATTAGTGAGGTCTACCCTTTATTGAGGTAACACATTTTTTCAATTAGTAAAATAAAGAAATACTTCAAAAATGTTAAGTTAAAGTTATAATATAGTAATATCAGTTATAATTTGTGAACTGAACTAGAAAGAGTATGATACTTGCTTAGGAACCGACTTTAAACGGAAATATAGTATGGCATCCAAGCCAAAACCGTAAACTAACCTAACATTCCCGTGTTTCTAACAAATTCACAATGCAAATCGCTAAATGGGTTCACAAGGTATACTTGGAAATACAAACAGACGAACTACTTATTAATTTAATATAAAAATATTATATCAAACAAGAGAAATATTAAAATCTAAAAACAGTTTATATTTTTCGCTCATTGGTACCATAGTTTGGATTCACAAATTGGCACTTTTTGCAAAAAAGATGATGTTGAACTATTTGTATTTTATGTGTATTTATTGGATTTCTCGTGAATTAATAAGTTTGTTAAAGGGAGTGACCGGCAATGTATGTTAGTTGAACTGAGAATGCAGTATTATTGAGACATTTTCTAGGATTCATTTGAGACCTATCAAACGTTTATGCGCTGCATATTTGAATATTTAAAATCCTCATTGATTGTCTATTTTGGAGGAATGATTTTGAGAATCGGTTTAATAAAAATTATTCAAAAACGACGAGGAAAAAGGTAACAAAATATCTTCAGTAAACTAATTAGATGTTTATGATCATATTTCTCATCAGAAATTTGTCAATTAAATCAATGTTAGAATTAATTGTTTCGTTTACATCATTTAATTGATTTTCTTATCTTTTATAGATTTGTTCTTGAAATTCTTCAAATGTCGTCTTTTCATTAAACATTCCAGGAAATCTACAGAAAATGGTTTTGAACATTGAGAGAGTTGAGATTTCACTTATTTTCGATGATAACAGTTAATTTTAATTTTTTTCAACCTGTTTCTGAAAAACTAATTAGTTTACTTCAGAATTTTGTGTTACATTTTTCGTTGTCGTCTTTGAATAATTTAAACAAAACCGATTCTCAAAATCATCCCTCAAAAATGGACATTCGATGAGAATCTTAAAGAATGCATTTGTGCTCTTGCTGAACGCATCTGCACTGCGATCTCAGTTCAACTACCAAACATTGCCGGTCACTCCCTTTAGCCAAATCACGTTCGTTAAATACAAAAACAATCGTTTTATCAAAATCTTTTGGCAATTTTTTTCATTCAGTAAAAAAACTAGCATTTTTTCATGTTTGAATTTACACATTGGAAATTTTTGTAAGAAAAAAATAATGTTTTTTTTTAAGGGATTTCTCGTTAATTCATGATAGCCATGGCTGTGTTTCTGGTAAGAACAGTTTACCATTAAACATGCATGCCTACACCTAATTATTCCTGTTAAACTAATGCTACAAAAAGCGCATTCTAGATCTATATACTCGTTCACATAATCCAGGCTATAATTGATTTAGAAACCATGAAAGCCAAGTAAACCCCATCAAAGGTCTAATATGAGGTCTAAATTCCAAAGCTCTCTCGATCTCTGTGTGTCATATCCAAATATCCCTTACCGGTCTACCCCCTAATAAAATCACAATGAATTTTAAGGTTTGGTCGGGGCTAATATGGCTCCTTATCCAACAAGGAGAGTCGGGTTTACATTCGTAGGCTATGGGCCATCATGGGTAAGATATAATTATCGCTAATCCTGTCAAATTTTTCCATGCTTAGAAGAAAAGAATACATTTAGTGAAAATCAGCGAAAACTTCATGCTACACTGAGGCATACAAATAGCACAAGTTGCTTATCAATTCCAATTATTAGTTGTTGGTCATCGGCAAACTTTAGAAAATTTGAATTGCATTTATATTTTGAACTGTCTATTGCTATGCATTTTATGTTCTTTAGGATTTTTGCATTGTTGTAAGTTATAAAAGCCTTACTTAGAACTAATTTCTCCAATCTTTTTTTGTCTAAACTTTTAACGCACAAATTGCGAAAGGTATTCGTATTTTCTTGCTCAGTAGAATTCACGAAAATTTTTGTTATCCAAGGATTAGCAAAAAACAAATGCACATTTAACATTCAATTTGCGCTGTTTCTTTTTAAATTCCAAACTAAACCTTCATTTCAAATAATTTTTCAGAATCATATGATGTGGGCATTAGCTAATTCTCCTTGTCCTGTGGAGTGCAGACCCCCAAACCATCAGGTATATATTCATATATTAGCTAGTTCTCCTTGTCCTGTGGAGTGCAGACCCCCAAACCATCAGGTTTATATTCATATATTAGCTAGTTCTCCTTGTCCTGTGGAGTGCAGACCCCCAAACCATCAGGTTTATATTCATATATTTAAGAAAATAAGAAAACAAGTTTACTGGAATAGAATAGAACAGTTTTACCCAGAGGCCAGACCTAAGGAGTCATCAAAATAATTTATAGAATGTCGTCTTGACAATTTTTCAATGGGTTTAATACTTTCATACCTAAATCTCAGAATTGAAAAAATAAATAATTAACCATAATATATACGAGAAAGGTTTTAAAGAGCATCAAATAATTATTTAATATATTTGCCACTCTACAAATGGAGTGTCACTTGTTAGAAAGAAAAGTTTACATTTAATTTTAGGACTGGGATTATTGTTAGCAGACATCTGGAAAAGATTAGATAGCTCAATTTTTGTTATATTTTTAATCTCATTAAACAGCTTTATTATGATGTTTCCATACAGTTACACAATTACAGATAGCATCGATGGTTAGCATGCTTTTCAAAATGTTGTTTACTTAACTCATTTTTCATTAAAAAGGAACATTTTTTTTTTGAAATTTCTTATATTATCGACAATATAGTACATCATTTTTATTCAGGAGGGGAACATTTTTTTTTTGAAATTTCTTATATTATCGACAATATAAGGATAAAGAAGATCACATTTAAGACATTTTAGACCTTTTTCAGATTTCAAACTTTTAATTTATTGTTATAACATTGAATGCTGTTTGGCTAGTTATTTATTATCACTCAAATCCNTGTTTTTTAATTCTTCGCTTATCATGTCTATCATTAGATGGTAGTATGTTTGGGCAAAGTTCCTTAATTAATGTGAGAAAACTTTTTGAAAATTAAATGATTGTTTGCCATAGCTAAATTGTATTGTCTAGTTAAAAGTTGAAATGTTCGTGCTCAAACTCAAATAGATTCTCAAGTACAATAGATGGCAACAGAGAAAGGGACCAATTATACACGACGTCACAAGTGTAACAAGGAAAACGAAATTTCCTCACATTATCTGACATGTTTTCCAAGATTAAATAAAAAAGTGAGAAAAAAAACAGAAAATAAAGAACACACACAATTGTATTTATTTTTCTGTAAAATAAGCACTTAATTCTAAAATTGTCACTATTATTAATAATTTTGTCGAACACAACTTAATTGACACTTGTGACGTCAGAATACAGCTGTACTGAAAGTGCCATCTATTGTACTATGTAGAATCTATTTGCTCAGACTTGTCTATACATTCCTTGCATTGGACTTTTCACTCTTCGGCCAAATGTAAATATTGCCATTTTTTATCATTGCTCATTAAAGTTTCTTTTTTATTTTTATTTAAGAATCATAAAATTAATTATCATTATAGCTTTTTGTGGTATAAAAATAAACATTTTAATACATAATTAAAAAATAGAAATAAATTTGCTGTTCTTACTCTCTGCTCCATTATAAAAATTCACCTTGTTTGAACGGCCAATTTTCTATTTTATGAACTAAACACTTTCTACAAATTTGCTAATGCCCATCTTTTTATCCTAAAATAATGGAATAAACCCATAGATAAAGATAGATTGCGCATAAGACGACATTTTTCATCTTGAAAGATATAAATTTACAGATATGTCTTAAAGATATTCCTATTATATAGATTTACTAGGTCGGTTGTGAACATTGGCTGTTCTTATGTTATTGAGTACTTGTGGTGTACATGAGTTCTGTAAATAGAAATTTAAGTTAGTTTAGTCCTTCTCATGTCCTTCTTTAGTTATCGTCAATATGATATATTGCTCAGTGAAATAATTTGATATTCTCAAAATAAAATTCACTCCTGAGTGGTTTAATAATTATGAAATTCATTAAAACACCAAACCACCCCGCTTATCATTGAATTACACTTTGACCCCTAAAAGCATGAGTTCGCGGACTGTACAATTCATGGTGATTTTGCGTACATAAGCTATCTATTTTTATTTATTTATCTATGAGTAAACCTTTCTATTTCAAGCTTATAGGCTGATTTATCTATCAGAATTCATAATATACTGCAGGGGACTATGACACCAGGTTACACAGGATTATGTGTGCGTTAAAAAATAATAATTTCTAACAACTGGGAATTGGCACGATTTTGTTTCAGATTTTTTATATCTTGCCAACTTCGTTTCTAGAAAAAAGGCAAAGTCGAAACTAACGATGTGTCAGTTTACAACTTTTATCTAAAGGTACCAGGAGGAGTTTTTGCCTCAAACTCAAATTTTCTAATCCGTATATCTGTGTAACCTAATGGTGCACGCTACAAGCTTATGATATTTAAGACACGGAATTCATAGTTCAAAATAAAAAAGGTTAACTGCATTTGGGTTTATAAAGATGTAGATATCAGAAAATCAAAGTTTGTGGCAAAGACTCAATTTCTTATTTTGAGTAAGATTGGTAAAAATCTATTGTTAAATGAGGTACGTTTATATATATAAAATTCTTTTTAAGTCTGAATTTTTCATTTTTTAATAAGGTTTAAGAAATAAAGATAATTTAGTTATTATATTAAAAAAAATACATCTAAAATATGACACGTAAAATATTAAATGTTGAAGATGTACACCGTATCTTATGCAAACCTTGAAAAATATCTTTTTAGACGATGGTTTGTGAATAAAATAAATAAATAAAATTTTGATCAAATTGTTACAAAATTGTGAAAAATCTTTTTTGTAAATTGCTGCAAGAATCAAACAAAACAAATTATACAAAAAATAACAATTTCATTTATTTTCACAAATTTTTTTCAAACATATAAACAGGCTGATTATACCAATGTTCATTTGGTTCAGGTGTTTTCTCTCCTAAACAAATAGAGATAAATGTAACTACAGAGGGTATTAGTTCCAAAACTAGCACTTGGCCCATTTCTAACACTGAGTGTTAGATATGGGCCAACTCTGCAAAGTTATCTTTTTCAAGAGTATATATTTTTAAATCCAAGAAGAGTAGAACAAAATTACAACATATATTTACAAACAATGGCTAAAACTATGTATTGAAACAATAAATGTCAATTTTAAACTAATATAATAAGAAGGTGTGAGAATTAGTTTTTGATGATTCTTGATTTCATTTTCGAACATATCCCTTTTTTGAAACAATTACCGGATTTCAGCTCATGTCGCGTTTTGGGAACATATCCTGGTTTTGAGACAATTACCGGACTTCATATCAATGTCAATTTTCAAGTTTTTACGCACTTAAGTAACAAAACAAGCTTTTTTGATAAGGTAAAATATAAACAAAATAAGAAATAAAAACAAACTGTTTTTTTATAATTTAAAAATCATTACAGCACTGAGAAATCAAAATATTTTTTTCATTTGTTCTTACAATATAGATTTAACTAGAAGTGTTTGTTTTAAATGTTTGAAAATAATAAATCTATATTCTCTGATTTAGCAGATAAAATGTGAAAACTTAGATTCCCAGAAACAATTTAGAAGTTAATTTAGTCTTCATAAGTAAATTTTTGTATTCAGTGATTTATTTTGTAAGTTATGAAGTGAATTCTGTTTTGAATTGCGGATTTTACGCAAAAACGGGGTTTGTCTCGAAAACGCGACAATGTTTCAAATTCAGGATATGTTCCAAAATGGAAAACCTGACATTGTCTTGAAAACGGTCAAGAGATTTAATATAAAAATGTTTATAATCTTAAAAATAACTTTTTTCAATTGTGGCTTCACTGCAAAATTGACTACGACAGGAAAACATATAGAAATTATTAAAGTCACTTTTAGTATTCATAGATATCCTCAGTCATATTAAGTAGTGTTTATCGTAATGCATAATACAAGTTTTGTCTGATCAAATATGATTTAGATATTAATGTTTATAATCTTAAAAATAACTTTTTTCAATTGTGGCTTCTCTGCAAAATTGACTACGACAAGAAAACATATAGAAATTATTAAAGTCACTTTTTAAACCTAGAAAAAAAGACAATTTTTCAAACATTACTCATTAGATACAAGGTTTCAAGGGTACATAATAATAAAAATAATAATAATAATGATAAATTTGTACTGTATAAAGAAATACAACCTATGAGCGTTAAACTCTATTCTATCCTTCCCTGTAGTTGGTACTCCAATAATCAACTGAAAAAAGGAAACATGAGATGAAAATCTTGTGGTTATATACCCAACTCCTGGTGGACAGGGACTGTAAGGGAACGAGCCCTCACTTGTATGGGAAAGGGAGGGGGGCATTTGCTCAACTCCCCCCTTTTTAACGTGATGGTGCAAAATGAGTGGGTTACCAAAATTCCATCCACTTCTGGGAAACTTGTAAAAATGAGGAAAAGCAGCTGGTTTGTTTGGAGGGATTCCTCCAACCTCCAACCTTATCCTACTTCATGAGCATTTACAGTGCAATTCAGAAATCAAAAAATATAAATTCCCTTATTATTATTGAATCCAAATGTAGATTTTTTTACGCATACTTTTGTGCAATAACAATAGATACTTTCAATTTATATCTTTATCTTATCTAAATGTGGAAGATTGTCACACTTTTTATACAGAGTTTTTTTTAATTAAGGATAGTCATTTTAAAAAATCCGTTTACTTAAAAGTCTCCAGAAAAAAAGTTCTAGAAAAAAACCTGGAGAAAAAACTTTGGTAAAAATGTACCTATTTTTTTTGAATTACTAGGACAAAATGTCATTAAAAATATAGTCCTCAGCTTTAGATTCCTGGGATTTTTCCCCTTAAATAGTAGGAGGCTGCCAATAAAGTCTCAGGAAATAATATCATAGGAATCAAAGTTCTGAAGAAAGTATATACGAAGAAAACAAGAAAAAAGTGAAAATGAGGTATAAAGTCCGAGATATTTTCATAGAAAGGACATGATTTAATATAAAGTCACCTTTTTTTTTTGCTTGGGTTGTAAACATCCTTTGTTATTATGCATAATCTACTTTTATATATGTTAACTATAAAAGCTGGCCAAATGGCTGAACAGAATTTGCAAAACTTTCAAGGAACCCATGTGTACCCTAGAGGTAACATTGGCTAAAGAAATTTGAATTAATATTTTTTAAATATTTTTTTCAATTTTCAATTTGTTTTTAAACTTTACGGGACATACCGGGGACGTTACAGCGAGTTAAGGTGTTTAAGTTTGCATTGAAAATATGCAATTTCTTTTCTTTATATATCTATATTCTTTTAGTTAATGTCCTCAGTACTGTGTCAACTTTGACACCAATAACACGGGCACTTGTTAATCTTTTTGAGGTTTATATACACTCGACTATACAGTCATTAGTAGAAAAAACCGGAAATAATTGAAAGTAAATAAGACAATTTTACATTTATATAAATCTAGTGATTTAAAACGCACAATAAAGGCAGACTTCATAATCATATTTTTAAAAATTGATGAATTACAAACTAATTCAGGGTCTTTCTGATTATGACTGTAAACTGATAACAATTGTGAACTGTAACATAAAAATACAATAATTTTGGGACCCTTACATGATGTTATTGTGTAACATTTTAATGCTTTTTTTTCTATGTTACGTTTGAATTCTTTTATATTTTGTTTGTTTTGTTAATCTAGTTGTTTGTTTATTTTAGTTGTTTGTTTATTCTAGTTGTTTGTTTATTTTAGTTGTTTGTTTACCTAATCCTGAGTGTTCAACTGAAGAGTAAGTAACAATTATATCAAACAATGGCAGTTTTCCTTCTTTATATCTTTTCCTAAAATATATAGTTTTCTTAGATTTAGAAGAATTTAGAATATATTACATTAATTAATCATTACTAATCATTGGTGCTGAGATAAAGTTTATAGGGTACTATTGAGAATTGAAGATGCAACTTTTTTAATAGAATGTCACCTCCACCACAGACTCTTTTATTGCAAAGACTTACCTAAACTCCAAAGGTGTGATAAATTCAAGTCCTGGATATTCACTTTTTGCTGTAGCGTACTCCAGGGTCATAACTTTTGAAGGGTTCCTAAATATTAAAAAATATGGAGAAGAGTAAGGGATCCATTAATTCAGAAAAGTTTCCATTTCTAAAGTGGAATTATTTGATTTTTCCATAAAGTGGAATTTCGAAATAATTCTTGAAAAAGTAAACCAAAATTTCTGAGAAATTAATAACGTTTTTCATTTATTATTTAGTGAAAAAAATGTTGGTTTCCATTTTGACACTTTTGGCTTTATTTATTTCAAAAAGTCCATGTTTTTGTCTATTCTTTGGAGTTTTTACTAATATCTAAGTAAGCTCCACAAATTTTTAAATTAATTCTTTTAATAATTTCTTGCTTCTTATATAGAAAATATGTTTATATACAACTCTTCATTAATGACATTTTTTGCATAAAGTTGATATTTCTAAACCTATTTTAGACTCATATTTTTTCATATAAAACACACTCATTGTCACACCATTCAATATATTGGAATACATTTTGGTTTCCATTCAGTAAACTGGAATAGATTCTGGTTTCCATTCATAAACTGGAATATAAATTCTGGTTTCCATTCAATAAACAAAAATAAATGCAGACCGGCAGTTTTTAACGCTATCCCTGCGTTATACATTTTTGAAAAGCCCTTGACCATGCCATTTCAAATATGCAAAAATTCAAAATAACCTGATGTGTAATTAAGAAGAACTAAAGATGTGCAAATTTCTTTATTCAAATAATTTGCGAACAATTCTTTGCAAAACTTGTGCAATCCATACCATTCCAAAAGCTAAAAATTATCAAAATCTGACAACCGAAAGTGGGTCAAGACAATAATCTAGTTTGTTACAGAAAAAAGTAGTCTTCGGTTTTTAGAAAAGTTAAAACTACATATCCTTAGTTGTGTTTCATATTCATAGGACTTTTAACCATAACATCTGAGTCCTTCAGTTATTATATTATTCCAAAATTTGTATATTTGTATAGGTCCCTTTTTTAAAAATACACTTTTGATAATCCTTACTTTGAAAGTATAACAGCCTCAACCCAAGGAGTCATAGTTCCAATAACAAGGACTGTTTTTCCTTTAACACTTATCTGCTTTAGGGCCTGAAACAAATATCTCAACTAGGGTTTAGGGTACTGGTTTGAACATAGACATGCAATATTACTTCATCTCTCATTTTAATGAAAAACTGAAATTAAATTTCGGAATGTTGAACTTTTTGCCTGCACTGTTAGAAAAACTTCTTTTGTCATAAGCGATATATATTTTTACAATTAATCATTTTCATGTTTTAATTTTATAATTTGGATACAATTAATACAGAAAAATTGGAATTTTATTTTTCTTCTTGGCATCATTTTTTCCTTTATTTCCTTTTCTTCTTTGACTGTTCTCAGTTTTGATAATTTTGAAAAAAATGTTGTTGAAACCATTATTTTTTAGACACTCACTAAGTTTGATTGTATGTTTTAGTGTGTTATAATATGGCTAACTCAGTTAGCAGATTTTTTGCGTTAACCAGGGACTTAATTCCAAATGCTGTTTGTGTTTTGCAACTACCCAATTGCCCTATATATGAGTATGGATATACCATGTGGTGTTCCTTCGGATCTCACCAAAAGCTGCTCTGCTTTCAGATCTTTCCATAATAAAGTCAGGATAAGTCTTCAAGTTTTATTACGCAGCTAGTTCAATCTACAAATTTAACAATATATAGATCGAAAAAAGTATTATAAGCCACAGAAAAAGCTAAAGTAAACTAACTTTTTACTTTTTACTTTCAAACAAACAACAATTTACTTAGCCATTAAAAACTGTGGCAAAAGACCATAATATCTGGAATAAATATTGATATAATACAAATAATAAATATGAGGATAACTCACCACATTGGTCCTCGAAACACTTCATAATAAATAAAAAATTGTAGCAATCATATATCATCCATCAACTACGAAAAGTTAAACAATACTCATTTTTTGGGCCGACAAAGTACAGACTCAAAACCGGTTATACTATACAAACTAGAAAATACAAGTTTCTGGAAGCTTTCTTGTCCTTGCGACAAACACCCAATCCAGGGGTAAATAAGGGGTTGTACAGGGATGATAAACTGGTCTTACTTGCAAAACAGTATGTGACAAATAGAGGAGTTGGAAGTTTGGAATAGATCAGGAAGTGAGGGTATTTAGGGACTCCCATGTAAGATCCCTACTTTCTCCTGGATCTAAAATCTTTTGCCATTAAATTGAATTAAGGAAACCCATAACTGGACCCCTTGTGCAAAATGGGTAGTTGAAAGCCTTGGAAATCTTCCACAGTAGTCCAGTCCTCACAGCTGGCCAAGTAAAAAAGCCAGTATCTTTGTGCATGGCTTGTATACTTATCAGGGGTCATACTTCTGTTTTTCTGCTTTAGACTGAAATGTTGAGCCAAGGAAAGCTGAAGATGAAGTTCTTGTTCACTATTCAAATCCTATGCTTCACTACTCCCCTGTAGTGTAAGTCAGGAGCAATTCTAAGCTGTGAAGCCGGGAGCTGCTATGAGAGGTTCGATCCCTGTTGCAAGCAGAAAGCAACTTCACAAGACATATTTACATTTCTTAAAATGCAAATATTAAATGTTGAGCCAAGGAAAGCTGAAGATGAAGTTCTTGTTCACTATTCAAATCCTATGCTTCACTTCTCCCCTGTAGTGTAAGTCAGGAGCAACTCTAAGCTGTGAAGCCTGGAGCTGCTATGAGAGGTTCGATCCCTGTTGCAAGCAGAAAGCAACTTCACAAGCCATATATACATTTCTTAAAATGCAAATATGACATGTCCCTACAATTATATTAGTGGTGGCAATCATTATAATTGTTGGGACGTGCAAATATATATATGAAACTTTTTTTTCAAACTACCTTGTCTATAAGAAAACTGGCGTTAGTGTATGTCTCATTGGGCTTACCAGCAACAAAATTGTCAACTGAAAGAAATATTATTTTATGTTATGTTATTAAATCCAAACCAATCTTTAATAAAACATTCAATGACCACAGCCATATAAATCATAAGTAATATTTCACATAAAACTTTTGATCCCAGTTTTATCAAAATTTCCATTAATTCACAATTTAAAGCCACAGAGCGAAATGAAAAACAGTAAATTGTCCAATATACATAATTATGGATGTACTTTAGATTGAGAGCTAAGCTAGCTTTGCTTGAAAATCTAAACTTTCTTATTATAAAGCCTTCTATTGAACCACAATTCTTTGGTCCTTTTATTTAAGTTGTCCTATCAAAATTTTATGTATATCGGTAAAGGGATTCCTGAGTTATGATTGGAAATAAAACAAACTGTTTGTTTGTATGTCCTATTCATTCTAACTCAAAATCTCTTAGCCGATTTGCCTCAAATTATGATTAGGGAACTCCTAGTTTGATTTGAAAAATGTTACAGGTCTTCAGGCAAAGCTGAATTCCCATGCAAGTCTAAATATATAGATGCATTTTAGATAAGAAAAAATCCCTTTTATAAATATTATATTATAATAATAGATCTTACTGTACGTTTGAACGTAAGTTTTCGAGTAGATTCTAACATCATTCTCTGCTTTCTGAACAACTTGACTGGTTTCGTCTATAGGAAAAATTAAATTCATATGTAAAACTTTTATTCTCATTGTTTGATCATTTCATAATCTAGAAGGTAAATCAAATATTTTTTAATTGCTCAAACATTCTAGAGAATTTCAGGTTTCAAAAGAAATATTTTGTAAGTTTAAGGATGTATTGATCTAAAATATTGATTCAAACAGGAGTGCACTCCTTAAGTTTTATGGTTTAATTTTTTTTGTAGTGGCAACTCAAAAATCGAGAAAGTTACAAAAAAATGTTACTATTGTTTCTGTAGGACCTACATATGAACTGTGGAAAAGAGAGACGACATAATTAAGTAATCTCAGTGATAATCGTTTTTCAGCCCCTTTAATCTTTTTTAAATGACTCAAAAATGTGCATCAACACATAATTTTAAATTTTAGTAGGGGGCCCGAAGTTTAACTTTTAGTGTTCCGATTCTTCTGTTTGGTGTTAACCCTTAACGCCCCCCTGTCGTTTTTTTGTCCTAGCACTTTCATTTTTGAAACTATCACCGTGAAATTTTGTGGCTTTTAATGAAAAGTAATTTCAAGGATTTTTTGATAAAAAAATATTTTTTTTTATTTATAGGGTTGGGTACAGGGTGGAAAAAAGACTGGCCTGTGAAAAAAATCTAAAAACTATATTTTTTAAAAGCCCTTGAAAAATACATGCAGAAAAATGTGTCACACTTTGATTTTTGTTTAAAACAATAAAAATATTTGTTGACCCTTTTTAGCCATTTTTTTTACCAAAACTGTATAAGTTATCGGTCTAATTTATTTTCTTTGAGCTGGCCATGAAAAATTGGGCTATAAACATGCATTTCAACCCTTTACCTGTTCTCTAAAGCCTTTTTCTAGGGGGGGAGGGGGGTGCGCCAAACGCTCCCCCTAGGCTGTACATAGATTCAGACCCCCCCCCCCAAGCCTTTATAGGGTTGAACTATGTTAAATATTAGAAAATATCTCCATTAATATTGTTTACATATATTCAAAAATGATTTGCATATATATAAACTCCAATAGATTTACTTCTGAGCATATCTGAAATCCAAGGTGTATACGCTGCTATTAACTGATAAACCTATAAAGAGATGTTGCAGCAAATCCTAGCTCAGTAGTGTACAAACACTTCTTAGCTCTATGGTTGCAAAAAGCAGAAGTAGGCGATATGACATCAAATTGGGGAATCTTAAAGAAACAATTTGAAATATTAACATAAAAGTAATCTAATGAAGTATTCCTTATTATGATTGCAAAGCTAATATTTTTTCTCTATCCTTTTTTTAGATTTTAACCCTTTAGTGACGAGATGGTCAATTTTGACCGGGTTTTTATTTTTTAGCGCCTTCATTTTTAAATCAAATGTCGTCCTGTTTCATTCCCCCTCTTCCTACATATATGCAGGTCAATAGGTTTCTCCACTGGAGCTCCAGCTTCAGTAGGCGGGTAGCAACAATGTCAATACTATCAAATTCTGGAACCTCTGGCGACAACAGGTATAAATCAGTGAAAAAATGTTTTTAAAATTATGTGTTTCTATGAAATGTGTGCATATATATGTCAGCTTTATGCTAATGTTACGTTCAGTTTACCCCCCCACCTCCCTCCTATAAATATCTGAGGTTGTTGACTCCTTTAATTTTCCCGCACTTTCTAATTATTAGAATAATAAAAATTATTCATTTTTAAAGTTTGCAGAGAGGATTTTGAACATTTGACAAAGCATCAAACAACAAAATGATACTTAAACTATCTCTTCTTTTGAGAACTATATATTAGAGCACCTTTTAAAATCTCAAAAGGTAATTGAGGCTTAACAACGTTAATACACGTTTTTTTGGTCACCTTGTAGTTATAAAGCAAATATTTTACAGTAAAAAGGGCTTTCATGTTTACTACACTAAATGATATCAAAGCTTCCTCTAGCACAGTTCTGCAGATCTCATTGTAAAATTAATTAGTACAATATTTACCAAAGCTTCCTCTAACACAGTTCTGCGGATCTCATTGTAAAATTAATTAGTACAATATTTACCAAAAAACCAAGAGAGCATGCTAACTTGTCCATTATGGGAATACTCTTTCTAAACAAAAATTCTTAGGATTAGATTCTAGAAATCGTTTTTTTGTAATGAATATCATGTTATTTGAAAACGAACAAAAATTTTGGTAAAGAGGGTGTCGTTTAGGAAACAACCGAACGATTGACGAACAAAATGGATTGCTCAGAGAAATGAAAAAGAAATATAGTTTTTTTGTTCTGTACAAACGAGTTTTTCAATATATTTTGAGAGTTACTGAATAAATTATTTTTTGGAACAAGCGTTTTTATTAACATTAGTGTCTTCTTTTCAAACATGTCCATCTCTCTAAGATACTATGAGAATCCTAGATGTGAGATTGTATTTACCTGGAGATCTATGTGGGATCATTTACCTGGATATCTTGTGGGATCATTTATCATAAACAAAGATCAAAACAAACAAAAAAGATCAAAACAAAAATAAAGATCAAAACAAAAATAAAGATTAAAACAAAAAATAGATCAAAACAAAAATAAAGATCAAAACAAAAATAAAGATCAAATCAAAAATAATGATCAAAACAAAAATATAGATCAAAACATAAACAAAGATCAAAACAAAAATAAAGATGAAAACAAAAATAAAGATGAAAACAAAAATAGAGATCAAAACGAAAATAAAGAGCAAAACAAAAATAAAGATGAAAACAAAAATAAAGATCAAAACAAAAATAATGATCAAAACAAAAATAAAGATCAAAACATAAACAAAGATCAAAACAAAAATAATGATCAAAACAAAAATAAAGATCAAAACAAAAATAAAGATCAAAACAAAAATAAAGATCAAAACAAAAATAAAAATAAAAACAAAAATAAAGATCTAAACAAAAATAAAGATCAAAACGAAAACAAAGAGCAAAACATAAATAAAGATCAAAACAAAAATAATGATCAAAACAAAAGTAAAGATCAAAACATAAACAAAGATCAAAACAAAAATAAAGAGCAAATCAAAAATAAAGATCAAAACAAAAATAAAGATAAAAACATAAACAAAGATAAAAACTAAAATAAAGATCAAAACAGAAAAAAAGGTTTGATTAAAATAAACATATGAGCAAACTCAATTCCCCTGACATTACCTACAGGTGTCTCACAAAACATGACAGTTAGTCAAAGGTTTAAAATGTCTTCTTCCAAAACTTTTTGATACCAAAGAGAATAATATAGAATATTTTGTATGGGAGTCATCTTACATTAAAATGGATTACAAAGAAAAATAGATTTGAGTAAATGATTTTTAAAACAAAATTAACAACTAAAGTCTTCAATTTTTAATACAGCACATGGAAGAAGACATTCAAAACTATTCACCAACTGTCATGTTTCGTGGGAATCCTGTAAAATTACCTTCAAATATGGTTTACCTCTAGTCTCTGAACTCCCCGGAGTACCTGAGAAAAATCTGCCTCTTTTCCATCATTTTCAAAACGGAGCCAACCCTTTTTTTGAAATTACATAAATTCTTCATTTCAAATACAACGGGACTACAGTATTGTAAAGAAAGGTATAGCATGTTTAATCAACCCCAAACTACACCAAATACAGTGGAACGCATTACATCTAAGTAATAGGAAGACGACATTAACCATTTTTCTCTTTGAATATTTAAAGATTTTCTAACAGTTGTTTGAAAATCATCTAATTTTGAGAATGGGTCCATTGTAAACTACAAAGTTGCCATGTTTCATGTTCATTGGACCAATTAAAGTACTATTTCATACTATTTCAAAGGTTTACGGGTCTCACCGTAATTTTAATATTTTATCTGATGTAAAATGAGATATATATTTATTTGTCTAGGAAAAATGTTAAATCTTGATATTATTTTTTCATTTTTGCCGCAAAAATGGCAAGTCACTTTTATCAGGACACCACCATTAAAGTAATCAAATTTCTCAAGGAAAAACAAGGCCTTCTTCAACATTTTTGCACAAACTTATGTGGTTAAACTTATGTGGGGATGACAATTATAATTGAAAAGTTACTTGAAATTATACCGACTGATCTGCAATTAATACTTTGTGTACATTAAAAAGATTTATCTGATAAAGGGAGAATTTAAANGGAACAGTATCCAAATATTCTCGGAAAACCAAAACTCGGGCTTAGATAGAACCCAAGTCAGGATTGGTTCTGATTCGACCAATGAGAGACTGTTTTGCAAGATTTCTCTCTGTAGCAGACAGAATGCCTTCAGATCAGCTGTGACAAGGAGATGTAAATTTCGATAATTCAAACTTTATTTAGTTGCATTATTTTCATAGTATGTTTATTTTATATAATTAAATTTTGACATTTGAAATAATTTCCAAGATTTTAAATGTAACAAATATAAAAGATTTTACGAAATTTATGATCATCAGCTGCTGAAGACTCGAGCCTTAAAGAGAGTAAAACCCAAGATTGTTGGTTCTTACTAAACTCGAGGCCATCAAAAATTCCCGGGTCTTGACTTGAGCTTTACTTGGGTCTAAGCAAACCCAAAGACCGGGTTTTAGTTGGGTTTAAGCTTTTAAAATCTCATCTCTGATTATTAAAAAATCTTTTTAAGATCTTGAAAGAAACAAAAATAAAAATATTTCTTAATGAGAGAGAGAAAAAGAAATTTTGTGAAAATGAAAATAAAATTTAACTTTCTCATTAAAATGCAATATTGTTCATGAATAATTGCAAAATGTGTAAATCGAAATATTTTTCTTGTTGAAAAAAGGCAGCAAAAAAGAACTGTTAAGACATTGAGACATTGAGGTCCAAGAATATGTTTTTTAATAACAAAAAGAAATAAAAAACATATATTATCAAAAGTACTTACATTTTAAGGCGTCAAACCTTATCTAAATCCAACGCATAGAAACCGCTACATATAGCAACATGGGGTATTTTCCGGGAGAACATTTTTTATATTTTTGAGAAATTAAATAATCAGTGTAAAGTAGATATAATTTTCATAAAATCCTTCTATTTAAATGGTAAAACGGAATTTTATGAAATCATATTTGCATTACTGGAGAACTTTTTCATACTTTTGAGAAATTTTTTTTTCTCTAAAAATAGAACTGTAGATAGAATTTTTGTAAAATATTTTTTTTAAATAGTAACATGCAAATTTATGTATAACCATATAATCATTCATTTATGTTGTCAGTACATAATAAAATCTGGGGGACCTTAAACACAATAGAGAGCAGTACAAATGTACATATAAAACAATTTTGCTCCTTTAATGTCCAGGGTATGATAAAAAAATAGAAATTATGATAATGATAATGATAAGCCACAATGTTTTACAAAAACGTTTAATTCTCAAAAATATAAAAAAATTTCTCCCGGAAAATACGCCTTGTTGCTTTACGTAGCTGTTTCTATACGTTGGATTTCTATAAGGTTTGACGCCACATTTTAAAGGTCAAAAGACAAATACAGCAATAACCAGAAAACTCTGAAATATGAAGACGACTTTATAACTATACTTAAGTGTATTTTATGTTGTTTCAAAGCAAATGGTTGAACTAGACACTTAAATGGGTCTGTTTACGTTGGACGATTGATGTGATCAATGCTTATCGGACTATTGAAAGGCATATATTAAGTCTAAAAGTCGTCTTCCTATTTCAGAGTTTTCTGGTTATCACTGTAGTTAATGTTGAGAAGAGGTAAAGTAAAAACGCAACAAAAAACTTACAACAAAATGTCCAAAGAAAAACATTACTGCCGGTAAGAGCATTTTCTTTCTCTGCTGAGTTACCATTCTAAAAAAATATATATTAATAATAGAAATTATAAAGAAAATGTGATCTTTCAAAAAGAAATTACGTTTCGACTGTGTATGCTGTTGTTTATACATTGACTAACTTTTGATCGCTCTTTTAAAATCCGCCAAAAATAGCGTCTCGTACAATCACAAATTTAAAACATGTAGCGAAACATACAGTAAACTCAAAATATTCGGGGTAGCCCCTCCATTTATGATACCAATCTATAACATTTGATAATTTTTAGAAAGCCCTTTAATAATTTGCAAAATTTCAAATATTTATTGCAATAGAAAGTTATTAACCATATAATAAAAATATGTTTATTCATGGAATCATTAATAATTAATATATATGTTCGAAATTACCAAACTGACCACATGGTCAGTTTACTATCTATTTGTATTATTTGACCCAAATATAAGTTAGTTATCCATTTACCGTCTTTGCTTTATGTCAAAGGATATGCTCCCGTAGAAAGATATATAGGGGGTCCATGAAGAGAATCATTTTAGATACATACTGATAGATAGTTTAGCGTATAGTCGAGAACTAGTTGTATAAACAACTAAAACTTCTTAATTTTTTCAATACAAGAGTTGTTAACAAATTTTATAAGAATATTTTTTTGTATGCATAAAATATCATGGAGGACGGTAGGACGGTAGGACTGGGTTAAAAAAAATCAGAAATGGTTAATAACTGTTTTATTAATTAACTCTCTTCCTGCTGGGGGGGGGTCAATTTGACCCCCCCCCCTGTAATTTTTTTTACATAGCTCAAAAAGTATTGGTCAGAGGCTGTTGAAATTTTCTGACTTTTCCTACATACTCAAAGCCTTCTCTTTAGGCCTAAAACCGGGCTTTAATACTAACTGCCTGAGTCCTCAGGCACACTGCCTGAGTCCTCAGGCACACTGCCTGAATGACTTTTTTTTCCTTTACCAAACTTAATCTTTGTTTTGACCCACTTCCACTTGTCAGATTTTGATAAAATTTATATTTTTGGAAAGCTTTTGACAAAAGGAAACGAATTTAACAAGTTTTGCGATAAAAAATTACAAATTTTTTGCAAACAACCTGTTAAAAGAAATTTGCACATTTTCAGTTTTTCTTGATTAAAAATCAGGTTATTTAAAATTTTGCAAAATTTTTTGCATATTTGAAATGGCATGGTCAAGGGCTTTTCAAAAATGTATAATTTTTCATTTTTTGGACATTTTTTTTTTGCAAATATTTTTTTTCTATATAACGGGATTTTGCGATAAAAAATTTAATTTTTGCAAAATTGCAAATTTTTTTGACCCCCCCACCATATCCTGGTTTTCAAGTACCCCAGCAGAGATAGGGTTAAGCTATAACAGGGATAAGAATTATATATTTAGGAAGCCCTTGAAAAATGGATATAATTACATATTATAATATTTGTCAAAAGTAAAAATAACTATTTTTGAACATATTTTCGACATACTTATTGTACTTTAAAAAATCCCTTACACCCTAACTATTGAAGTTAATTAGAAGTCTAATTTGTGTTTCTTAATGAGCAGGCCTTAAATTAGACTAGGGACATG